CTGAAAGACTATACTTCGTGCGACATTTATAATGCGGACGAGACTGGACTTTTTTATGAACTGCTTCCGAAAAAGACCGCATATGAAGGGCCAAGCATGCAGCGGAGGCAAACACAGCAAGAAACTTGCGACTCTGCTTTTCTGCACTAACATGAATGATTCAGATAAACGCTGCCCACTTGTCATCGGCAAGAGCTTGAGGCCTCGATGCTTCAAAGGCAGCAGAATCTTGCCAGTAAAGTATGTGGCGAACAGAAAAGCGTATGACATGGGCCGTCTTATGCGATTGGATAAAGGTGTTTGATCGTGACATGAAGGCTCAAAACAGCAAGGTGTGCTTGCTAATTGATGACTGCTCAGCTCATAACGTTGACGACATTGAGCTGAGCAATGTGGACGTGCGATTTTTCCCACCCAACTGCACAAAATGAAAAAAAAATTGCTCTCTGCCTAAAATGAGGGAAAAAAAACCCAAAAATAAAGAAAAAATAACGCAGCCTCTCGGAACTGAGAGCATATATATACATGCACGTCAGCGTACGTCAACCTTGGTAAGCGCTGCCAAGTCCGCTCTACACGCGAGCGCGATTTAATCGCGCTAACTAAACTTAGAACACACTGACTCTGTGAATCTCTCCTTCTCCTTTTTTCCAAGCGTTTCTTGATTCAGCCGTTAGATCAGGGCATAATTCGCAGCGTTAAAAGCGCTTATCGGCAGCGGCTCATTTAGCGACTGTTGCTGAATGTTGACACAGGGCGCCAGACCAAAGTGGATTTATTCATGGCCCTACAAATGGTTGCCGCGTCGTGGACGGTGACCTGGCGAAGCATCATAGAAAACTGTTTCACTCATGCTGGCTTTAAGCCTGACGTTGATGTAAGGGCCAACTCTTCCAGTTCAACTCGACGAAGATGACGATCGCGGCAGAGTGGAGCCACCTTCGAGAGAAGCAATTGCAGACTGGGCAGCCCTTCGGGACACCAGAAATATACCAGAGGATGTGAACATCGATCAGTTCTTCGCCGTTGATGCAGACGTTATTGCTCATGAGGGGCTAACTGATGGGGCAATTATTGATGAAGTTTGCCATGACGACGCGTCGTCGGACGAAGAGTATGACGCTATAGATGTTTCAGCGCCGCTTCCTGCATTGAGTGTAATGGATGCATTTGATGTGATTCGCAATTTCTTTGGCATCCATGATGACGACGTCGCGATGCCGCAGATCGGTACCGACTACGAACATCGCGTCACGGCACTGATGTCAAAAGGAAGACGGCAGACGAAGCTGACAGAATTCTTTCGCAAATAAATTATATTTGTCACGTTTTTAATCAAATGCGACAGTGTTCTGGGGCAGATTTCGCCACAACGAAATTTTTCGTGTGTTCCTTTAGTTTTGTTATAGCAAGGTTCGACTGTACTTCCAAATTTCCTGGTGGCAAAAGTTGACCTTGTGTAGTTACCCAACTTTGGGTAGTTATATTCGGTTATAGCGGCAATGCATGGCTGGCGTCTCCATGTGTTAACGATTCAACCTTGTAGCGTCCCCTTGTTGGGTTTGGTAGTGGGTGGCCAAGTTTTTCCCCCCTCTCCCTGATCGCCGCCCGAAAAGGTGGCGCACAGAAGAACGGTTCCCTTTTTTTCAAACCAAAGCAGTCTTTCCCCAAGTTTCATGTCGTGCATAGTCAGAAAGAAAACAAAACAGTCCAAGCAATCTCGCCTTGTTTCGCAAACCCTCAACGAAGCAATCTGCCCGGGGAATCTTGTAACCAAGTTGGGAAGTGGCGACCTCCTTTTGGAGGTTCGCGACAAGCTCAAATACGACAACTTCCAAAAGGTTCGCGGCAAGCTCCAATACGACAACTTCCAAAACGTTCGCGACAAGCTCCCATATGACAACTTACCTAAACTGGTAGCATTTGGAAATGTCCCAGTTTCAGTGGGCCCACACAGGTCAAGGAATACAGTGCACGGTGTGGTCTCTGATGACAACCTGTTTGGACTGTCCAAAAGTGAATTATTGGAAGGCTGGCAAGGCCAGAATGTGGTCAAGGTCCAAAGAATAATTATACGACAAGACAAAAAGGAAACACCCACAAAACACAATCATCACCTTTGGTACCAGTGACTTACCTGATTCGATTGAAACTGGCTACTGCAAGCTCAGTGTCAGGCCCTATGTGCGAAACCCTCGCAGATGTTTCAAGCGCCAGCGCTTTGGACATGGGTCACAAAGCTGCAGAGGACGCATTACTTGCCCAAAATTTGCATCCAACGAGCACGCATCAGATACGTGTACCTCAACAACGTCATGCTGTACGAACTGTGAAGGAGATCATGCTGCCTACACGAGATAGTATCCAAACTGGAAGAAATAAAAACAAATCCTTGAGATTAAAGTGAAGTTCAATCTGTCCTTTCAAAAAGCAAGTAAACGCTTCTACATCCATCAGTCCAGTCCCTCCTTCGCCGATGTGATGCACTGGGGCGCCGCGCCGCATCTTTCCGCGTCCGCAAAAGTCTCACAGAGTGAGACTGTGGGCGCACCACAAGCGCCCCCGGCTGGAGCAGCCAGTACTGCTCCGCCCCGTGAGAAACAGGGCCAGCAGACTCCCCAGTCTGCCGGACCCCGGGTCACTGCAAGCGTAGTGAGGCCCGAAAGCACCATGAATGTGTCTCTTGAGCAGGCACCATCCGCCACCTCACAAGAGGCGATGGATACAAGTCCCACTCCTCCGGCGCAATGCAACGATTAATGACACGAATGAAAAAAAAATGATGAAAATTGGTGCACGGACAGTGAAGTTGCGAGTCCTCAAAGTTAAAAACTCGAGCAGACGACAAGGAGAAATGTCTTTCGCATTTCACTCGCCTGCTGACATCAAAGGCCGCTTCCAGTCACAGCGCGTGTTTCATAAAGGCATTCCGGAAATGTCACCCTATGGTGGCCTTCACTCACTACCTTGCTACCGCTCTTCTCACGGCATTGTAAGCATGGTTACTATGAACCATGTGGGTCGAGTAGAAGACGCTCTCACGTTCACAATCTGTAAGATACAGGTATACACTTTGGGCAGGGTCACTCTTCAGCTTGCATGCAAGACTCATTCTATGGCAACGCCGGAACCCACCGCCCGTCGCATTTTTGGCTCTCTAAAAACCCGGCATGCCTTTCTACTTCTAGTTGCTTGCTCTGGCGTACCATAGCTTCGTTTGCAGGCTGTGTTGTGTTGGTTGTTCTCAAAATACATCATTTAGAAATGGGAATTATTTCTTTCTGAGAAAGTATAAAAAAAGATTTTTGCTGTTTTTAGCATTCACTCGTATGTTCTAGCTACCACCATAGGAATATTGCTAGCTATTTCTCTTGTCCAGCCAATCGGAAGCGAACAGGGTTTGTCGTCACGTCACATGACATTACGTCACTTCCCGTAACAAAAATAGCTGATGTGTGTCGCCCTAGTCTGAAATCAAGATAGTTTGTCTCTTGAATTAAAATAAGTGTTGCCGTAGCCTGAAATCAAGGTAGTTTGTCCCTTGAATTAAAATTATAACAGCATCGATTTCGCTGTTGCCATTTGTGCAACGATATCGGCGCATTCCACAGCACCTGAAAAACCAATGAAAAAAGCTCAAATAGTGTCGCATAGCCCCTTTGAGGCCTCTATTTCATGACTAGTTTCCTTCAATTTATTTTTCATATACTCAAACTCATCGTTAATGAACTTAATACCATCTGTCACTGCTTTCAATTCAGCGTGCAGCTCCTACAAGTCATTTCGATTCTCTCTGTCTGCTTTAGCCATGGGTTAGTAGGTGCCACTTTCACAAAAAAGTCAAGAATTGAATAGCACTCCATGGCAGCAACGACAGCAAGAAATGGCAACAAAGTTCAGGTGAATGTGGCCAGTGAACAAATGTGCTTTAGGCAATGTGCAAACTGGCTGTTACGCCGGTCCAGATGCTGTCGTGAAGGGTGGGATGCGTAGTCCTTGCGTCACTTCCGAGGCCGCCCTGCGGTGGTGGTCTAGTGGCTAAGGTACTCGGCTGCTGACCCGCAGGTCGCGGTATGAAATCCTGGCTGCGGCAGCTGCATTTTCGATGGAGGTGAAAATGCTGTAGACCCGTGTGCTCAGATTTGGGTGCGCGTTAAAGAACCCCAGGTGGTCAAAATTTCCGGAGCCCTCCACTACGGTATCTCTCATAATCATAATGGTGGTTTTGGGATGTTCAACCCCACATATCAATCAATCGACTTTCGAGGCAGTGTCGGCAGCGTCCTCTTCCATCCAATACAGCGTAATGCTATCAGTGGGATATCTGCCGTGATGAACAAAGGTGCTTTAGGCGATGTGCATGCTGGCTGTAGCTGCTGCCAAAATCTATGTGCATTACATTTTTTTATGACACAAATAAACATTCACTCAGACCTCCTCCAATAAAATGTTTGGCTCTCATTAAAAAAATTAATCTACCTTTCTTGGAGTAAAAATACAGTGGGCTTATTTTTGGGCAAGACTAAGTGCTACTGTATACTCATAGTTTGTTTTTTATTAAATATTGCTGGATTATGCAATGTTATTGTGTGGTGCCTTGAAAATCTATAATCAAGGTTGCACTGTATATATTTAATGCAGATAAATCAACCCCACAGACAAATTTGAAATCGTCAATCTCGCTTGTTTGCAGTACACCAAACAATTGGTACTAATAATTTTGAATGTAGTTCACCACCTGATGTTGGCATATGTGTTGACAAAGGTAGCTATTATAAAGTTATGAGAATGAACTACAAGCCTTTTTTAAAGATAACAAAGTCTTAGAAATTGGTTTCACTTGCAAATAACCTCACTTTTCTTCCATTAATTTTGTTTGTAATATTAAGGACACCTTGCAGCAGCTCATATATGATGTGTGTGCACAGTTCATTTCTGTATCAATTAGGAATAGTTTGGCAATTCATTGCAGCGATTTCTTTTCATATCCTTTCTTGCAGAAATTTGCCAGCCAAGAATCCAGAGGAGGAACAGAAACACAAGCAAGAGTACGAAGAGATGGTGAAAGCTGCCCGTAAGAAAGGTAAGTTGGGCGACTAGTATCGTAAGCATTACGTAGTTTGTGTGTCTTAGCTTCAAAGGTACATTTCTATGCCTTATGGTAGCTCAGTAACATTCCCCTGTTGAACATCAGGATCTTGGCCCTCTCCCAGCCGCAGCGTGCACAATTTGGGTTGAATGCAAAATTTGAGCTGAATGCAAAATTTTTTGCGTACAGTACAATCTCACTGGAAACTGAAGGGGCGTGGAAAATGTTACCTTTAGTAGTTTTGGTAACTGAAAAAGATTTATAGGGATGCAGTTGTCTAGCACTAAATTAACCAAATTAAAGGTTGTCACGTATAGTACCAGCAGATATGTTGTTTTAAGCACTGTCCAATCTCGATAATTCGAACTCGAAGGGGCCCGAAAATTTGTTCAAATTAAAACAAGTATGTTTGAATTCATGAAAGCTGAATAAACACAGGGCTCTCCATGCAGTGGCGCATGTGCATTGAGCTAACACACGAGGGGGGAAGTTTAGGAAAACCTGCATTTATTCACAAATTACAGGACATCCTGTTATTAATTGAAGTAATTGGTGATGCACGTCTACACATGTTTGCCTTGCAGCGAGTCAATCAATTTCGCACGCAGCTTGCAAAGCATTTCTACTTCGGCTTCAGCATTCTCGTGGCAAGAGAAGTCGCGCATGGAAATGTCCAGCGCAGACAGTTTCTAAAGACAACTACAACAATGACTGCTGCGTAGCGGAGCCTCTCCGCTGTGCAGCCGCAGCATGGCCAGCACGTGACGAGAAAGGAGGAGCGTCTCCACGCAGAGAGAAGCAAATCGGCATTTGAGAGAAAACTAACACTCCACTGCAGCTTTTCTTATTTATTTATTTATTTGCTCTCTTCACGCGTGTCGTTGAAAGAAGGGTTACGTGGCAGGGAAGAGAAAGGGGGAAGCATGGCACCAACACGTGAGAGGACCCCCCCCCCTCAATGTGCAGAGCCGTGATCCCGCAAGGGATCACGGCTCTGCTGTCGTAACCCCACGGCTGCAGAAGATAGTGCTTTTTTCTTTTCCTTCAACCACACATTTATTCAACGCAGTGACGGCTTTCTTTTTTTCCCTCTCTCTCTTCGCACGCGGCGTTGGAAGGAGAAGGGTCTTTACGTGGCAGGGACGGAAAAGGGAGAAGCATGACATGGGCGCGTCGCAGATCAGCATTTAAGAGAGAGCAAACATTCCACCACAGCCTTTTCTTTCCTTTTCATTTCCTTCGCGGGCAGCGTTGAGGTGTCGCAGGTGCCGCCGTGGGATTGGGCGGGGTGCTGAGAGCATTTTCGGAGCGCGGTATGTTCGAATTAACCGGCGTATTCGCCCATTGGAATACACATAGCTTTGACGGGACCTCATCGCGAGTTTGAATTAAGCGGAAGTTCGAATTAAGCATGTTCGAAATAACGAGATTCAACTGTAATTTTCATTTGGCTGATATTGTACTGCACTATACATTGGGTGCACATTGAAGAGCCCCACGTAATCTCAAGTCAATCTGAAAGCCACCACTTGTAGCATTAGAGTGCTGCATTATTAGAGCACATTTATCGGCACAATCTAAAAGCATGGGAATAAGTAACTTTGGGGTGTGTGTAATCTGGCAATAGTTTTTTGTCAGAGAATTTCAACATGAATGGGGCATTATTTAGGAGTAACAGTTACTGAGTCACTAAACAATTCATCACACATTCTTGTTGACATACACATACAAATGTGCTACATATAGAGCATTGGTGTACTAGTTTTCATTGGTGCATTTTCATTGAAGAGCATTTAAGGGGAGACGCTCCTCGAAAAAGTTTTTTTTTATTTCTAGTAATAGAGACTTGAAAAGTTTGTTATTAGTATAGTTTTTCATGCAGATTTCAAATATGCAATCATTTTTCGTGTAGCTGCTATAATTATTGAGTTATGCCATAAACAATAGCAAAAAGTTGCATTTTTTGCGGGCACTCTTTTATGTACTAAACTTTCAGTAAAAGCACTGTGTCTGATCTTATTTGACTCTTGGTAGATTGAAAAGTGCAAATATCTATATAGATATGTCACAGAAATATTGGAACCAAGAAAAAAAAATTGTATTGAATGACTTATTATTTTCAATCTCCCTTGAAACAATAAGCTAATATTTTCACAACTAATGCTGGTAGGCATTGCAATTTAGAGTAGATATTTGCATTCTGCATGTGTTGAAGAATATGTGTGCCAAGTTTCGTTACTATACAATGAATATGTTTCTAAAAGGCTGCCCGGAAAACGTGAAACTGTCAGAAAAAATGAAAATGAGAAAAACAAGCTTGAAAGTTCGCAAAGTTGGCATTTATTAGGAAATCATTCTTTTTGCATCAAATTGGGGCACAATGAAAAGTACCTTGCCTTGAATGCACTGCAAGTGTCTAGAAGTCCCCTGCACCATAGCTTGGTCCTTCACGGCTCTTGCGGTCAGTGTCCTCAACACGAACTCTCTTCGCTGTGTTGCGACGGTGTGCCCTCGCTTCTGCAGTTTGCTTCAGGTTCATCTTCCTGATGCGCATGACGTCACAGTGGTCACCATGTGAGGCCAGATCTTGTGAGGGGAGAATTCCAATGCCTTCGAGCACTTCTTCAAAGCCCCTGTGGCCTTTGTTGTACCAGAGTACAGCAAGAGCGGTGGCTGTCTCCACAGTTGTTCTGGAGGCGAACTTTGTTTTTGGACATAGCAGCCATATCTTGCTGTTCAGCGATTCGGCTGCATTCTGTGTCTTGCCATGAAGGCACCGAATAAGGAGTTTCTCCTCTGTAAGGTGCTTGTAGATAGGCATAATTGCCAATCCTTGAGCCTTCGTCAACAGTGGGGTGTGGCGTGGTGCAGGCTCCCCCAGTGCTTCCGCACGCTTGTGTTTGCACCACGAATTTGGTCCCGCGGGGCAAAAGTTGTGGCTACTGGCACCATCACTGGAGCAGCAATGAAAATACGATGCCCATATGGCAGTGTACATATTTCGGACACTGTCCTTGTTGCTCGTGATGGCGATCTTGTAATATGTTTGTAGTTTTATTATTGTCGCATCTTTCAGTTTTTCGCCTCGTGGCAGTGGCGTTGCCAATTTCCGTAGGGCAGTTCCCAAGCGCTTTGCAACGTGGTTCGTGCACTCTTCTTTGTCAATGGGGGTGTCACAGTATACATTTGCCTCGCAGACTGCAGTGTAGGCCTTGCTGTCACCATCACTTAGGAAGCTGGTGAATCGCAGTGGAGTTTCATAAGACAAGGTCCTCTGCCATATATTGACAGCTGCCGCAGGTTCCATTGCATGGGATGAGCAGTCAGTGTTTTTTTGGCAAACTGGAAGATGAAAAGCTCGCCATATCTCTTCATCCTCCCCAAGGTCCCTGTGTATACTGCAAGCATGGCAGTAGTTCGAAAGAACTTCAAAATCGAGGCAGAGCCCCGTGTCCAGGGACACGACTGTGCCCACTCCATTGTGGCTTTTATGACCTCTTTTCTGCCAGGTGCTATCAAACATGACTGGCACATCTCTGCCGCCGACTGCGTCCTTCGTGATGTTTCGTGCCTGGTGCAAGTTTTTGCTCACTGCCGTCATCGCCGCACCATGGAGCTTCTTGCAAATGCCGTTGAATGTCTTGTGATGCATCGGGCTCGGAAGACCGAGAATCGCACAAAATCGTGAAAGTTGGTCGTGGCCTGCGCCTATAGCGCGTGCTGCCAGAACTGCCTTCACGTTTACAGCAAAGCTGTCACGCGAGCTGCCGCTGTCAAAACGAGCGCTCGTTCCTTGGTCCCCGGCCGAAGCAGTACGTCTCGACATGTGCGTGAACGAAAGTGCAGATTCAGGGCAATCAGAATTTTGACAGCACAGTTCGACGAATGCCGAAAGTCCTTTGCGCTTTCCAGCTTCCTCTCGCACGCCGAGCTTCCGTTCGCGGCAGGTTGGGCATTTTGCACCCGCCACAAGTGCCGTCAGCGCATCATTTCGCAAAGCAGCATGTTCGCAGTAGCAGCATCTACCGGTCTACGTTCACTCTCGAAGAATCCAATCTTCCTTTGGGATGCACTGACGAATTCCACGGCAGCGGCTATTTCACAGCCACTGTCGCAGGGTTCGGTGACGGTGTTAGGCCTATCCGAAGTCGGAGCGTCGGGGCGTTGGTCGGGGGCGACATCGTCGTTCGCTGTCACTTTGCGAAACGTCCGACGCCGTTTCCCTCGATACTTGTGGCGAGTTCTGAACTTTCGATTATCTGAACTGCACTTCTTCGGGCTTGCCATGACGCAAAAATGCAGAGAAACGCAGAAAAACTCGATCGCGACGTCCGAGGCTTCACTCTTTTGCCGGAGAGATAGGAGGGGGAGGAGCGTGGAGCGCACCGCCGTCCAATGGCGGCCCATAACGTGACAAGATTACCGACACAACATACAAAACATGCCGAAACGCGCACTTGCCACTTTGGCTTGGATTGGATTGAATTTCTGTGCAATAATAGTATGCTTGACGCTTAAGAGATGGCACCAGGTGGTGCCCGCTATCATCATCAGTGGCTGGAACGAGCAGACGACATCATTGGGGCAATTTTCGGGGGTGCGATAATCACTCGAGGAAAAAAAAGGAATCATATTTTTGTTATGCGATGTGTGGGGTGCGAGGATTACGCAAGTAAATAGCATAAGTTTGTCCATACAATGACTTTACAGAGCAGTCAGGAGAGGGGCTAAGCTGAACCCTCTTAGAACAAACCTGAAGCTCACATGGCATTCGTTTGTCGTATCCCTGTTCATCAGAGTCATTTTCTAATAATAACTGCTTAATTATGATTGATTGGTGCATTGTAGACTTATAAGGATTATCAGGCATTCTTTTTAAGTAAGCTGCTAAAGTTAGAGTCCAACAATTATCTGCATCCTGCAAACTGTTCAACTGTAGACAACCCCCTAATTCTATCACCATCATCTTGCATTAGCTTGTTGTCTGATATCGGTGTAAACATAGAATGCTAGCAAAGAGAGTTCTTTTTACAAGCATATGCGATTCAAACTCAGCAGTAACTGTGTCTCATGCAAAGCACCAAGCACTAGCTATTGAAAATGGCATATGAATCTATGCCATTTTTAATAAATAGTGTTTAGGAGAAACTACTGAAAAGCCACAATGCGGGGATAAGAATTTCATGATGCCTATTTCATACCTGCCAATTCTCGATTTTTTGGGAGACTCTCGAATTTCAAACATTTTTTACTTTTGTACGGTTGGCTGGAAGATCTCCCAGAAAATTGAGATTTCAGTGTGTGATCTGGCTGGATTGACAAAAACCTAACTCAATCTTATTGAAGTTCTGCGGCTGAATTTCACTTTGCCAGTGGGCCGAATTTTGGATGTTGTGAACACGTTGGCGCGTTGCGCCGGATGATGCAAACTTTTGTACCAAACCGTTGAGGAGTGGCCAAGAGCAATATGCTCGAAGCTTTCGAGGGACATTCGTGGCCAACGAAACCTCGATCACTTTTGACATGGTCATGTATGGCGACGATGACACTGACAAAACTGATGAAAATGCACATGCATTCAATGCTCACCCAGTCTAAGCGACGCTGCTTTCCGCAAACAGCCACGACAAATGCGATCATAAGTAACAATAAGCGACTTAGATTTGAAGGCACGTGCATGGCCAGTGAACGTGTGTATCGTGAAAACCAACGTGAAAACCAATTTTGCTAGTTTTTTTATTTTACATACTTGAGAGAATGAGAATATTCTCTATCCTGCTTGAGATTCGTATGGATTAGTGAGATTCTACTGTAGTTGAGGCACCCCACCTGTCTTGTTTATAATTGATTACAAGATTGCCAATGTTTACGTTTACTTGGCTTTTCCAAACTTCCCCACCCCGCTTTTCTGATGTGTTTTGTGGGGGGGAGTATGCATCTTGGAAATTTCCCAGATTGAATTTTTTGCAATTTGACTAGCTTCCCTCTAAATAATAGAGCCAGCAAGTCTTAACAAAGACAAAATTCTAGGAGTCCGATGAGTTTACAAGCTCCCTGTAGCTTATCGAACTGCATAAAAAACTGCAATATATACTTAAAGGTAAGCCACACAGAAAGTGTGCAAAGATAGCATGCTGCACAGTCTCAGAGGTGCTAGTGGGGCCCACGCATAACTTGCGACATTTAGTAACGCCCTAGCATTAGAATGTGTAATAGTAGTACTAGGCTTTCGCAAATACTCAAAGGAATATTACAGTATTTGAATTTGATTCAATTCAAACCAACTCTGTAAAGGTGGTCTCACTTCAGTGGAGAGGTGCTAAGCCATGAAAGCATCTATCTAAATGTATATTAGTCCGCATATTGCCTCCTATTAAGGTGGTTTACCTGCAGTAAAGTAGTACTAGGCCGTGAAAACACATATTCTGGGGAAATTCGCCATACCCTGAAGACCCACTTTAAAGTTAAATGAAGAATTGAAGATATGACCCTCACATTGATTTTTGCCAAATGTAAAAGCTTGTTATATAGGCTTATATGCTCCAAGTATAGTTAATATTACGTATTTTGCAGGTTATCTCTTGCATTCTACTAAAGGTAAAGTCCTGGCACTATTAAAAGTTGTTTCTACTTCTTTTGAACAAAAAAAAAACAAACAAAACTGGCATTTGCACAGGCTATGTTTCAGTTTTTTTAAATATTATGCAGGTTGTGATATATACTGTTCAAGATTATTAGACCAAAATCACTTTTCCCACAATCCTAATTTCACTGCGACAATGTTGGAGTGGTGCCGATATTGATGCCCGTGTTATACCAAAGTCAAGTGTTTACTGTTATCTGGTCCTGCATTTTACCGCTTTTGTTCCCCCATGTGCAGAGTTAAAAGATGCTCGTGCCCGCAAGAAGCAGATGGAGCAGCAGTGGAAGCAAGAGGAACAACTGGCGCAGGCCACACGTATTTGGGTGTCGGAGCTGCTACCTTGTTGGGAAGTGGCACGTAGCCAGCGGCGCACACGAGACCTTTGGTGGCAGGGCCTTCCACCAAGTGTGCGAGGCCGTGTCTGGAAGCTGGCTATTGGCAACGACTTAAACATCACATCTGAGTTATATGAAATATGTGCCTCACGCTCACGAAAAATCTGGCGCAGTGAGGCCGTTCCCGAGGAGCCTTCAGCTTTGCACACACGCGAGCAGTCGGCACACCTTATCCGACTGGATGTGTCACGCACATTTCCACAACTGGGCATCTTTCAGGAGTCAGGCCCTTACTTTGATGTCCTGCACGTTATCCTCGGTGCTTATGTGGTCTACCGGCCAGACATTGGCTATGTGAGTGTTCAACACCACACTTCTATAATTCACGCTTGTTTTCACACTCTTATGCTTTCAAACGTAAGGCCTCCCTTCTCATGAATGACGGTGCTCATCCACCGAGCCATTGCAGGCAGTGTGGGTGCTCTCTCCTGTAATCGATAACCCTAGGAATGCAAGCGGCAGAAGAACTGAGACCTAAAAGGAATTTAGCTTTTTATATGAAGAAACAAGGACACAACTCTTTCAGCAACATGTGGTTGCATCGTCTGGTTAAAAGAGATAAGCTTTCTAAACACCATAATGGCTAAATAAGATTTCTTATAATGTGATGCATGGTTGCTCATGCATGCGCAAGATGGTTGTCGGAGGTTATAAGGAAAACATTCAAGTATGCGTTTTGCTCAGTTGTAAGTGCCTCCCTGTCCCACTGTTTTCTTATCATGGCATCTGGTGTTTCCTGCTGGTTTGTCATCTATTTTGACAATGTACCAACTAGCCCAGTCTGGCATCTTGGAATATCAGCACCTATTCATTAATAATGGAAGAATGTTCATTCTTACTAAGATGATATATTAAGACATACTTATTGTGAGTCGATAAGTAAACTCTGCACGGGGCCCTGCCTTGGTGCTCTAGCGGATGAGGTACTCTGCTGCTGACCCGCAGGTTACGGGATCGAATCCCGGCTGCGGCGACTGCATTTTCGATGGAAGCGAAAATGCTGTAGGCCCGTGTGCTCAGATTTGGGTGCGTGTGAAAAACCCCAGGTGGTCGAAATTTCCAGAGCCCTCTATTACGGCGTCTCTCATAATCTATGGTGGTTTTAGGACGTTAAACCCCACATGTCAAGCTCTGCACGGGAGCTTTTTTTCCAGGTCTGTATAAGGTAGTAACCAAGATATTTTTAACTCATTTCTATATGTATTTCATAAACTGCTTTCGTGATTCATTTTACATATCCCTGAAGCTATGAGGTTCATTGTTATGTTAGTGGCTTTTGTGTGTTTGTTTTCCTTTTTGAGCAGGATGAAAGCAGGTTAGAATAGACAGTTGTGTTTTTGGAGCAAGGAAACCATGGTTTGAAGCAGTAACCCGATGATCACATGCTTGTTACATATTATGCAAGCACTTCTGGTGTTTACAGTCGGCTGCCAATTTTTCACTTTTTTTTTTTTTGGACATGCTAGAATAATCTGACGTTCTTGCGGCACCACTATAGCACCACAAGTTCAATGCATATAGGGGTAGAAGTGCTGCACTAAACCACTTCTGCTGTGCCATACTGCTCCAAAATTCACTATAGCGCCGAAACTGCTCCCACGTGGTCTTTGGTGCCTTCATGTGTCGTCACCTGTGATGTGGCATACTCAAGCAAGCTCTTACATTGTCAACATCGTCACCTGATTTCTGACATTGATGACGACTCGAAACAAGCAGTCTTGTTTGGAGGGTGAAGCAATGAATGCTGTCTAAGAAGTAAGGCTATCAACTAACTTTTTTGGATCTTATCTCGCGTAACTCTTCAATAACATTGGGGGTGTATGGTGGGAATACGGCAGTTCCAGGCATGGATTAAAGCGGTTTTTGTTCTCTGCAATCTAAATGCGAAGTAAGTGGGTTGTTTTCTGATGTCTACAGAGATAGCTTGCACATTGGCACCAGCGACCATGCCCTTATGTTCAAGTTGTCTAATAATGCAACCTGCTCCCCTCCCTCCTCACTTCTTCGCCAGGCGATAGACAGGCGAGCTCTTTTGTCTCGGCTTGGGGGGCCATCAAAAGCATGCCTCGCATGCAGGGTGATGTTGCCGCATGCGCCTTCTGCGCATCTCAGGTGGCCGGCTCGTTTCATCTCTGCCTTGGATGCGTTTTGTCACAAGCTCTTGCAGGGACATGCTTGAAAATTCGGACATTCTCATGGCACCGTCATAAGTAGAGGCCGGATTTCTAGGTATTAAAAAAATTTGTTTTAGGTGCCAAAGACAGGCAGGTAAAATACCGTTTTAGGCCCTCAAAATTATAATTATAGGCACAATAAATTTCTACAAAATTTTAAATATCCCACAACAGCGACGTGTGTGAATTGTATCTACGGCAAGAAGCAAAAAAAATGATACTGTTTAAAATAGCAGGAAGGGACTAACGACTGAACATTGGCATGCATTTCCCGCATGATTCGCAGTATGTGGTCTTTTATTTTATCGTCTGGCATTGTGCGTCAAGTGTCCACCATTTTGTTAACACTCGCCTGGATCTCTCTAGTTTTGTTGTGGCTGGGAAGGGCAGCGCAGGAGCAAATAACCAGACCACTGATACCCAAAAAAAGAGGTATGCTAGGTCTTATCGCGCAGGACCAATTTCTCCCCTATCGGTGAACACCCTAAAGAGCGCCTCACTGGGTTTGGGAATTTCGAGCTAACAAGCGTAATGGTGCACTGGGCGCTCCGGATAATTCCTGTTAAGATTTGCAAAATTACACATCGTGAAAAAATGCTCAATTTTTAATGAATGCCACCTTCCCTTCTCGCACGCGTGCGCCCCAAGATCTAGAGAGTGACGTACAGTAAGGAATGGTTCTGTTTTTACGTGGCTCCTTTACGTTGACATTGGTGGGCTGACGTCGCACATTGGTACGCCTAAAACAGACGAAAACACCGAAAACAGACGAAAAATGTCCCGCCTCCTGATTATATCCTGCATTTTAAACGGTACCTCATTAAGAGGGTTGCACCTGACATTACACTACTTGGCATGCGCAACTTGTGTGTTCTGTTGTGTAGCATGAATGAGGAGTACGAGTACTTTGGTTTGGGCTCGCTACTGCATATCATTTTGAAAGAGAAGCTCAAAGACAAAAGGAAAAGACAGAGCTTTTTGTCTCTGTGTCTTTGCTTTCCCTCCGTCTTAGCACTGCCCTTTCAAAATCACTATAATTAATGAAAGCTGAGAAAAATAATAAAACATGCAAACACATTCTCAGCTTATTATTTTATTTTTGTTTTGAATAGCCTTGAGATGCTATTCACTAACCGGCCCTCGTTTCGCATCCGCCTCGGTGGACCAGTCGCTATAGGGTGCCCCGCTGCTGACCCGAATGCAGGGGGTTTGATTGTGGTCGCGGAAGTTGCATCTAGATGGAGGCGAAAAAGTTGATGCCCGTGTACTGCACGATGTCAGTGCACTTTAAAGAATACCAGATGGTCAAAATTTGCGGATACCTCAACTATGGCATCCCTCATACTCATACACTGTTGATTGTAAACATGCTGGCACTTGTCTCGGGCTTTGCTGTATAAAGTACAGCGATTTGGCGACCTTTGCCACCACTGAATCAACAAGAGAATTCCATGAGTTGGCCCTCCATGGTTCTTCATTTGTTCTCCAGCTACCCGCCACTGCCCGAAAAACCTGCTCTTTCTTTCCCAATGCAACACCCAGGTTTTCAGGGTGGTTCTTAAGTTTCTTCAGGGCACTGGATAGCTGTCTGTAGAAGGCGGTCACCACGTCCTCGGCCATAGACGTCGCTTTTATTTTCTTACCCCATCTTCAATTCTCCCTCCTCCTACTCCTGCAGACGCTGAGGCGTGCTTGCACTTCGGGCTGCAGGAATAGTCTTTTTCACTCCTCATGCTCCTCCTCCAATTGCTCGCAGCATGTCAGCTTTGTCTTCATTGAACCTTAATGTGTTTGGAAATATCAATGTTGCCTTTTTACCTGAATAACGGTTTCACATTACGCTCTAAAACAAAATTTGGCCTTGAATAGCGCTCATATAGGCGCTGATTCGGAAAATGGGCACTTATAGGCACTTATAGGCATTTAGGCACGAACACCCATAGTAGGCATTTATAGGCACTACAAAAAACACCATAAAAGCCCTTCATAACCTCTAATTCATGCTCATATATCAAAATGGCATAATAGGAACGCAAGGAACAAAATGGGCATTTGCCTATTATCCGGTCTCTAGTCATAAGCCATATAGAGCCAATGTATGACAACATCTGAAGTTCTGGACAGTGAAACTATTAACGAGTCTCAAGTTTTTATTCAAATTGTGTGTCCACAAATGTATTAACAAAGCCTTCTTCCCTCTCGCACTGGGTGTTAGGGGACATTGGGGTTCTTGGGGGGGTGGGGTTCAGTAGTTTGTATTTCTCTGGTCTTTTTTTTTATCTCAAGGGTGTTGCGTACCATTACCTTATGGAACAGACACCCTTTAGCCAGAATTCATTGTTGTAACCGATAATGGGGCTTGCAGGCATTGCTCCAAGCGGGTTATTTCACCATAGAAAATATACAAAAGTGGATGGTTAAACTAGACCGAATTATAGTCAAATTTCTATTTTGTTTCTTGCATTTCTATTGTGCCATTTTTATCTATGAGCCTGAATTAGAGGTTAAAAAGAGCTTTTATAATGTTTTTATAGTGCCTATAAATGTCTATTTTTGAGGTTGGTGCCTAAATTTTTTAAGGGCCTATAAATGTTTATTTTCAAAATCCGTGTCTATATAAACGCTATTTAACCTCAAATTTTGCTTTTGAGTACAGTTGGGTACCAGTATTTGTGTTAGCCGGCAAAATTGAGCTTTCAAAACTTTTATGTGGTGCTACCCATACTAGATCTCCTGTTCCTCTCAGCACTGTCAAGGCAACTAGGCCTCTTAGCCAATAGGAAGACAGATTATCCTCTTCACATGGGTTCATCCGCTTCGAGTCATCTGCTCACATGCAGAGGGAAAAGGTGGTGCTTTTGTGCAGCCACTGGACAATAAAGAACGAACGGAAACTGTGGAGTGTCATAAGGGGAAAGTAGAATGTAGATTAAAAAAAAAGATATATCCACATGATTTCTGTTTAGTTTGTTGTTTACTTTGTAAACAGCGATTCACCATGTCGCATGAGAAATTTTACTTAGATACAGAAAGTTGTTGCGAGCCCAATGAAAAGTTTTTTACCATTAGAATTTTTTTGATTCATTACAAGCCACGAAAGCATGATACGTGGAAGTGAGCTTGAAACCTTTGCCACTTGATCACCTGGTGTAGACTTTGCAAGCCAAATCTCTTCGCAGAATAACATCAGCAGGACATGCGCACACAAGGCTACATTCGCCTCACATGCCCATGCCAGGTTGTGCACGCAAGCGTTGTGTCGTTTCGACGTCCTCTGTATTGTACTACCTGTTTCTGTGAAATGAATCCTTCTATGCGCACATTTGGAAAGGCTGGCATGGGTCATGTATTCTTACCAGGATGCACACCGTCGCACTGCTGGAATTGCTCCAAGGGATGATGCACTAAAAACACACCAAGCTTGGTGAATGCTGTCACCGGCACTATGCGAGAACAGCGAAAACACCAACGCAAACGAAATGGAAGCAGATTAGTCTCGCATCTCACTCGATACGAAGTTAAAAAAATTATGTGCATGGATTCCGTATGTATGTTTTAACAATCTGTCATTTTTCATACTTTTATGCAGGCAACAAATTGCACGAATTACAAACATCGCCTCGAACGATTCTCGCAGTGCCACATACTACTCGGATATGCAGGACCATTCCTTGTTGTATACGTCACTTGCACCATGTTGGGCCCGTGCCCGTGAGAGGAACAAGCGGTGTTAGCCTGACACTTCCCCTCTTTTCGGGGAGCGCAGCATTGCAAAATTTTCACAGATGAGATCGTGAGCACCCAGTGCATGCGTTCACCTTGCCTGCTTGAAATTCGCAAACCTGGTGAAGGGCCCTTTGAGAAGTTCACAGACAGAAGAGAAATTGACCCTGTGTGGTTAGACAAAGGTAATAAGAGGCAAAAAGACATTTCTGGCCTATTAGTGCTCTGGCTATTTGATCCTGTGTTGCCCTTCTCAGCCATGCAGAAAAGAAAGCCAGGAGCATGTTTATTCGATGGTGGGCCCTTAACTCGCTACGCGAGATTAGAAAAAGACCACATTCAGAAAATCCCGCAAGGGCGCGGGTTCGAATCCCGGCTGCGGCGGCTGCATTTCCGATGGAGGCGGAAATGTTGTAGGCCCGTGTGCTCAGATTTTGGTGCACGTTAAAGAACCCCAGGTGGTCTAAATTTCCGGAGCCCTCCACTACGGCGTCTCTCATAATCATATAGTGGTTTTGGGACGTTAAACCCCACATATCAATCAATCAATCAATCAAATCGGAAAACCCCGCAAGGAAAAAAATGGCATGACTGTGTGAAACCATTGGCGCTTTTGTACTATCGTGAACTAAAACATTTCTGCTTGTTTTCATGTCGTAAACACAGATCCTACACGCATTCTTTCAAAAATTTCAATTTTGTCAAAGAATAATGTGTCTATATTTTCGATTTTGAGGGCCTAAAACAGCGTTTTTCTGCATATTTTTGGCACTTAAAACCTGCTTTTTCAGTGCCTATAAATCTGGCCTCTAGTTTCAACCAATATATTATTAAAACTGGTATTGTTATAAGTGTTTTCAACTGTGCGAGTGTGCCTGTAAGTGTGTGTAAATTTTAGCTAAGGTAGTTGCTTCAACAGCATTAAATATTTACTAAAGACCACTAGAACCTCATGCGTCCCAGAAAAAAAAAAATAATTAACACTGTTGTCGGAACCCAGAAATTTGCTCCAAAACTAACTTCTGTTGCTCGGAAACACACCTTTTGGTGCACTGACGCTACTCCAAAACTCCCGTTTACTGCTCTAATACTGCATTATTTCTGCTTCCTGAGCTGCTCCAAAAGACTGAAGCCCACCTCCACTCTGTGCAAAAATGTCTAAAATTTTAGACTCTGAAATTCTTCGAAGTCTGGTTTTTCAAACTCTTTGCATAAAGTGCAGTTTTGAAGCAGCATTTAGTTGAAGGAATCGTCATAGCCATCGCAGGCTCAAAATCGATGCTTTCAGAAGTCTGTTATTGACCGTGGCGCATTCAAAAAGTCAGCTTTGCCGCAATGCCAAGGTGTTAAGCGGTGAAGCACACTGAAAAAAAGAAAGGTTCATTGCGGGAACGTCGAGGTGGTGTTGCCAGCCTCACTTTTTTTTTGCATGCACATTTTGCACGGCAAGTATGGTGAACTTGAAATTCTGGGAGAGTAATTTAGTGGTATGAGAAAAATTGTTTTTCTCTTTCGCGTTCCCTTAAAGCCAGACAAGTCGCCTGCTCTCTCGCCACAGCCTTTGTGCTTTGCATCATTGTCTAATGAGGGTGCATACAGATCCTTGAAAACCCTTGAACTTGAAAAATGCATCTTTAAGGCCCTTGAAATTCCTGGAATTTTTTCTCAACCTTGAAAATTCTGAATTTTCTGAGCACTCCCAACCGACCTTGCAGCCTTCGTTATGTGGTAGATTGGCTTACCTACCGAGTCTCCCGGATTTCTACCAGTTCTTTTCTTTGTATAGTTTTCGGGAAAATCTCCCGGAAATTGAAATTTTTGTGCGTGATCTGGCTGCATTGACAAAAATGTAGCCCAATCCAATCCAGGTTTTTAGCAAAACCACCGCATTTTATTGTAAACTAATTTAGGAGGTGTTCATCTAAACGTCCATTGGGCCAAAATTCGTACGTTCCGAGCTCTTCTTTTCTCATCGCGGCGGGTTCATATGAACTATGGTCCGAAATCGTGGAAGGTATGCTGAGGGCATCGTGCTCGAAGTTTTGGAAGGATGCGCACTGTCAGAATTACCGTTATCGTTTGCTACAATCACTGTGGACGGAACCACGGTCGCTCTTGACACGGTCGTGTGTGATGACAACGTAACTGACAGAACTTCGAAAGTGCACACGTGTTCAGCGCTCGACCAGTTAAAGTGGCGTTGCTTTCCACAAACGCTGCAGACAAAATTGTGGCAGAGTTCTTTAGGAAGTTTGAGTAGTGCAAATTCTAGTGCAAATTGGATGGCAAACACTATTAAAAACTATTCAAAATTTCTAATATATTCACACGTCCCTAGTTTTGAGACATGGTATGGCTCCTTGGTAGAATGCTTGATTGCCACGCAGAATGCTTGGGTTTGCTTTCTGCTGGAACCCTAATTGTTACTCGCACATGGAAATTTCCACTCTTTCGTTGCCATTCTAGGTAGAATAAACTGTCAATCACCTCTGGCACATACCCACATATCATAGCTTCTGGTATATGAGTGTGTGTGACACATGTCTGCAGGAAAGGGTTTGACAATGTACATGATGGGATTTTCACGTTATTCATGTCATGACTAGCCGGACATATCATGAAACGCTATTACCCTCCCGTACTAATTTTGGTCTACCCCAAGTTAAGTAGGCGATCACAAGAGCACCTCAATGTAGACAGACAGACGGACGGACTAACGAACGGGCAAGCAGGCGGGCGGGCAGGGCAGAGAAAGAAAGAAAAGAATGCTCAAAGTGCCTGCAGTATGCAAGATGCTTCGCATTCAAAAATGTTTCACAAGGTCATCATGAAAAGAAGCTGCATTGGTGAAATGCCAATGTAGAGTGATGGCTACAGATGGCTTGCACATGACATGGGCACCGCCTCAGGAAGGAGCTGGGATAATGGCGTCTTGGATGAGTAACAAGTTGCATCTATGTGAAAAGGATGCGGAAGGAACATGTGCGAGTAATGAAATAACCTGCATGTGATGTTTTGACAACATTCATGTGGCATCAGAAACGTCATGTCCCCACATGCTGGTGCTCCAACATAATGCATTCGGTGATGTCCGTGCAAGCTATCTATATAAGGCTACCATGTTGCCACCATACGTATGAGTGCATATACAAATGTTTCTTTTGGAATCTGTAGAGTTGTTTTCGTCCATAGCTTTCTGCAGAGGGGCTTTTTTAGGGGAGGGGAAGGGGGGGGGGCTGTGCATGGGTGCTTGTAGCTTAGAATTTTTCGATTAATAATGCTGCTTTCTGCACTGCAGGTACAAGGCATGTCCTTCCTGGCTGCCATGCTGCTGCTCAACCTGGAGGTGGCCGATGCCTTCATCTGCTTTGCTAACCTGCTCAACAGACCCTGTCAGCTGGCATTTTTTCGTGTAGACCAGCCTCAGGTAAGTTTCGATTGGGCAGTGATGCTACTGCAGCGTTAGTTGCACCAAACTATGAATGCTGCCACATTTTCCCTAACTATGGCAAATCTACACTCGCCCTGCATCAAAGGGAACGTTATGGCTTTCAGAAACAAAACTAATGTGTTCCCTTATCCAAGTGTTCAATTAGGCCAGGTCACATGATAAGTTAGCTGCTAGCCTTGCTTCAAATACCATTCTATTTTGTCATTGTTGCATTCATAGCTTTGCCTTCACAGTGAAACTGCGGTATTTTATTTATACTAGAACATCTTTTTTCGGTCCATAGGAAGTTGAAGGAAAAGAACAAAATAGGACAAAGTGCACATTTACAACCATATTTATTCCTCATATTGCAAGAATATACAGCTGGTTTGGCGGAAGTGAGAAAGAATTTTGAGAAATGGAATAGACACATGGAAAACTGCTTATAAACATTCTGAAAAACACTGAACTCAAAAGATATTCATATTTTGTGTTCTCCGGGCTAGTTGGCAAGACATAATGAAACAAATTGTGCTAGGGACGAGACACCAGAGTAGAGGCAGACAGGACGAACACAGGCTAACAACTGATTGATTGAGTCGCATAAACTGCCTTCTACAAGAATGCGCATGTGCAATGACAGCCACCTCCACGTGACAAAAGTGCACCGCCCTCCTCCAATACTCATGTCTACAAAGAAAACGAACTTCTTTCTTGGAAAGATACACACCTATCTGGTTCATGTATAGTAATCCATAAGGCTTCCAGTATTTCATGTGCTATCTAGAAAGAAAACCAGGCTCTTTCCTGGAAAGATACACAGCCGTATCACTGACACTGTTATCTGGGTCATGTCTAGCAATCCACAAGGCTTCCAGTATTTCACATGTTCTAGGGCAGGTTTAAGTTGCATAATCATTCATTATTCCAATAGGTTAATGGGCAGCACACTGACTCTGTCATTTTATGCTTCATAGATCAGAAAGGCTTCATTATTTCGAGTGTCTCGCTTTCGCTGCATCTTGCCATTACATTCACCAACAGATTTTTTGGACTGTAAAAATACGGGCTTGTTGGATATTTCCGATTTCACAAATGCACCGTCGCCCTGCTGCGGTGGTCTAGTGGCTAAAGTACTTGGCTGCTGACCCGCAGGTTGCGGGTTCGAATCCCGGCTGCGGCGGCTGCATTTACTATGGAGGCGGAAATGTCGTAGGCTCGTGTGCTCAGATTTGGGTGCACGTTAAAGAACCCCAGGTGGTCAAAATTTCCGGAGCCCTCCACTACGGCGTCTCTCATAATCATATGGTAGTTTTGGGACGTTAAACCCCACATATCAATCAATCAATGCACCGTCAAGGTTTCTATTGCACTGATGTATTTTCGCGACCGATTTTTTTTCGAACGAATTTATGTTCCAAAGTTGGGTTTCCTGGACTAAATCATTTTTGAGCTATGCCGCTTGATTTTGAAAGCTGCAATGATGGATTTCTTGTTAAATTGGTCGAGTGGGACTTGCAGTGGCTAGTTGTGTAGCCTCAAAGATTGGAAGTGCACACAATCTTCCAGTTTCGGAGGCCATATCCGATCTTCCTTGGCTAGCAAAACAACAATACTTTTCTTTTTCAGTCAGCCTTATCATCTTCATCATTAATACGCCGGTGGGTTTTTATTTTCTGGGCATTTGTTTTTCTGGTTGTCATTGTGCACATGGTCATTTTAATAGCGTGCCAAGTGTGTTTGAGCCGTCGTACGTGTCCCATGCTCGCTGCTGTTCACGATTTTTTAGTAGCACTCTGAGGGTGGTCACGGCGCTCAGCGAGTTGGCCTGGAACACTCGTGTTCGATTGCGGCCTCAACAGTAGCGTTTACCGTATATACGCGACTATAGGTTGAGTGGGAATATAAGTCGACCCCCCAAGTTCAGGTTACCGAAAAAGAAAAAAAGGAAAACAACCCAAAACTGCCGGACCACATTTATTTGCGAATTGGGCGCACTGCACCCCGATCGTCGGAGCTCCCCTCAACTACCATCGCAACTGCTCCTATTCGTCCGACGAAGCACCACTGTCTTCTGAAGACGAGAGTTTGTCGCTGGCCGCCTCCCACAGTGCGTTGTCTTCAGTGCCATCCAGCGAGTTGCTCATGCAACATTTCTTGAAAGCATTTTCCACCATGGAATCCGGCAAGAAGCGCCAGGCGGAAAGCACCTAGCCACAAGCAGTCGCAAGCGGAGGCCTCTGTAGGCGGCTCGTCGGTGTCTTGGTGTGGTCGCCGGACATCCACTCTTGGTATTCCAGCCGCACTTGGTCCTTGAACGGCTTGTTTAGCACAACGTCGAGCGGCTGGAGGGTGGACGTCATACCACCTGGTATCACGGCGAAGTCCGTTTTCCCGTCGCCGAGTGCGCGTTTTACTGCGTCGGTTAAGTGGCCACGAAACGCATCCAACACCAGCATGCTGCGAAGACGCAGCAGTGCATCTGGCCGACGGTTCCACACCACTCTTATCCATTTGAGCATCATGGCCTCGTCCATGTGTCCCTTTTCATTGACGCGAACAACACCGGGCGGGAACACTTCCTTCGGCATTGTCTTGTGTTTGAAAATGATGAAGGGCGGAAGGTTTCTACCATCTGCCGTGCATGCCAGCATGACGGTGAAGCGCGAGTGCTCGTTGCCAGTGGACAACAGCTTTACATCCTTGGCGCCGCACTGCGTGATCGTGGTCGACAAAGGCATGTCAAACCACACAGGGGTCTCATCGGCGTTGCCAATCTGCCCCATCATGTAGTCGTTCTGCTCCCGAAGCCGGTTCACGAAGCGCTGAAAGTTTATGAGCTTGTCCTCGAACTCCTCCGGCAACTTTTGACAGATGGATGTGCACCGCCGGAGAGAAAATCTTTTGCGTCGCATAAATCGACGCACCTAAGAGTTCGCTGCATGAAACACTTCTCTCGTGAGCCCAGCTTCTCGAGTGAGTTCCACGGCTTTCTTGCGAATGGTATCCGCGGTCACTGGCAGCGAGTGCGCACGAACTTCCCGCACAAAGTCCGCTAGCTTATCCTCCAGCTGTGGATGAACGGCACTTCGTCCACGAAACGACATTTTTCGAGGATTGCACGTCTGCAGCTTCCCTTTCTGCGCCCTCCAATAGCGCACACTTTTTTCCGATACACCAAAGTGGCACTGAGCAGCCATATTCCCGTTCACTTCTGCGAACTCAACATCTAGTTTAAACGCAGCTGAGTACTGCCTCCTCGCACCACAAGACATATTCAGTGAACAAAAAAAAAAAAAAGGCCACTAAAAATGCAGTGCAATGTCAAATGGAGCGAAAACTCGCAACAGATCAGAAGCAAATCACGAACACAAAAAAAACAGACAGAGAGAAAAAAAAAAATGACTGCGATTGGATTTGGATGTGGATATAGCCGCGTCCGGCTTCACAAGCACATGCAAACCGCATGTTACCAGAGAGCGTCGCACTTTCGGCTAGACACCGCTATATAAGATCAGGGGCGACTTTAGCTTATTATTTCGACTTATATTCCGGTTTATACGGTAGATGGTGGCGAAATGCTGGAGCCTCACATACTGTTCAGTGTCTGTGCAGGTAAAAGAAGCCCAGACCGTATTGTTAAATCCCACTAAACAGGGGAGATGTTGCATGCATCTTTTTGTGACCAGCGTCAAGTTTTGTTTACTTGGCTCCATGAAGCCACCAACTTTAACTCTCGCAACAGTCGGCTGCAGCAAGTGCGAACGTATTTTCCAACGATGTCACTGTAGCCCAAATAGTTTACGAAGGGCTGTACTTTATTACTTGCCATATAAACACAACCTCATTCCTGCTTTTCAAGAAATCTTTTTAGACAGTGGGGCACCTAGTGGACTTAAGCCTAAGCAGTAGGTTTCGCCATACCATATGATTCAGATTGTCAAATTCAGCATACTCTCAGTAAACAGAAATCTGTTTAACTCAACTGCTGCTTAAATGGAACAAATGCTTCTGACAAAATTGATTTTGTTCTTGCATTGTGCATCTCTGTTCATCTCTCAGTAAACGGAACTCCTGTTAAACGGAACACATTTTACTGGTCCCTTCAGGTTCTTTTTAATGAGAGTCTACTGGATGTAATAACACCTCGTTAGTCCAAAGGCTTTGCAGTCTAAAGAAATATCAAGCAAACATTTCCACTTATCTGAAACAAAGCAAAAGTAAAAAAAAAAATGGCCAGAAAAGATGGTACGACATGGGTGGCACATTTCTGTTGCCATATGTCCACTTACTTAGGAGAGATGCGATTTGAGGAGAAAAAAAAAGTTGTGATTTCTTTAGCCTATGACAATAAAACTTTTCCTATTTATATAGGCTTTTATGCTGACTTCAAATATATAGTTAGTTTTATAGTAAGTTGCAAATTTTTAGTTTTGTACCATGACAATGTGTAACGTATAGTTACACACTTTTTATGTCACTAAACATTCATGTTCCTAAGTCATTAATGACTCATATTGCTCAACATTAACTGTGAAATGCAAATAACTATGAAGAAAGTGCGTATACGACAATTTAATGGGCAGGAAAAATTGTAATGTGAGAATGCTTAGAATCCTCATAGCATACTAATTGTTCACTTCACGTTCACCATAATTATACAGGTGATATCAAGTTTCAAAGAAAAGACTTGCCCTCTTTCACATGTCAAGAAATATTAGGGCAAAATTTCATCACAATCGGGCTGTCAGAAATACCAAAAACGTGTCTAAACTAAAGTTGCCAAAAAGTGGATCTGGAAAAAACACATTTTAAAGGTATAAGTCAAACCTCATCTAAGCATAAAAGTTATGTTTTCATGATGATTTCTTTCATCATGAGAGCTTGGCAATCCTAGTTATGTTATTTTAAATGGCCAGTCAACAGGCTCCGACTTTTTTCTTTCACTCCCGTAGAGTAGACCGCAGTGACTCCGACTATTACAAAGCTGCGCGCTTCACAGAGCCTCCATTTCAAAAAACAATTCCCGCGCTCCTTTTCTACGCCTGACCAATGCTCCTTGCACGCGCAGTGACAACTCGGCGATCGGCGACGTGACGCAGCTCATCGATTGGTCTAAACCAGGTCTCAACAAGCAGTAGTAAAGTCAACGACAGTTCCTTTTCCCGCCCACAGCTACGATAGAGCTATTCAAACATACGAAATCGGGACACTTCACTGACCCAGTTTTTGGGAGTGAGCAGATTGTTGTGTCACCTGTTGATCAGCACACCCACTATTAAGCGCATTATTGGTGTTTTGTGTAGCTGCTCCCAAATGGCGTGACAGACTGTTCCCTAAAAAAAAAAAAAAAAAAACGAACTCCACAAAAAGGGCCAGCTTCATGTCTGGGTTTTGGAACATAGTTTTGCTGCAAATCGAGCGACTGGACTGCGGAGAAGCATCGGCATCGGGTAAACAGCAAACAACCAGGCATCGCAGCAAGTGGAAGTGCGTTGCAACTGATCATGTTCGCCGATGACGTCAATCGCTGACATCTTGTCACATTGCCGAAGTGGGCGGAGTCACGACGAAGGGGCCATGCCTTCCTTTCCCTCTGAAGGAGAAGGGTAGCGAGGCCACGCAAAAATTTGAAATCAGCTGAACGCGATTTGCTAGCCCCTGCAACTTTCTTAATATAGCACGTACTATTTGCGAAATTCTTGCCGCAGCATGTTCACAAAGTAAAAGTGTGCATAGTTCTCTAAAAACAATTTTTGGACGTTGGGGTTGTTTACTGGCTGTTTAAGCATGTGGCTTTAGTGAACTCCTTAAGCAAAATGCAGTGGCAAGTAACTAGGTGACAATTTTTAGGGGACTCTAGACAATAAGCTGCCTTTAAAAGCGATTTTAACCTACTTCGAGTTTAATTGCAATCTTCCATTTTTTGCCGGGAAAATATAGAAACTAAGGTATACTTGTCAAAGCAAATAAAAACTAAAAATATGTATAATTTGGGGAAAAAAGTTGTTGTTCGACTTGCATCTCCCCTTAAAAATAAATTCCTCCGTGTGAGACTGATGCTTTTGGTACTTGGCTGTATTAAAAGTCAATGTATTCAAGCTGGCAAACCAGGTGCAGCAGTCAGCTTCGCTGCTGCTGTAGTCAACAAAGTTGTAAAACGACGCTGTCCAATGATGTCCAATGAACTTCGCTATTTCATCTAGCGTCACTTTTTTCCATGAGCCACTTCACTCCGCATGGGTTGGCGTTCCAATATATGCCTCCAAGCATATTCCTTTGTATCTTTGCGCATATCGTAATAAAAAAAAGGACGATATTGCACACAGTTATAAAATGTTTCACACTGCCTTGTAGTCAGGGTCAAGATGTGCTCCGAGGGCCTCATTGCCGTTAGGAGAATCTCTGCATCCAGCGCCACCACACCGCGCCCTAGCGAAGTGTGTACCACGCACATAACCAGGGTAGCTTTATTGCACACAAAGGTTGGAAGCTATACGCATTTGTGGCGGAGGAGACAACTTGAGGATGTAAAAAAAAAATAAACCCATGAATGACTGCGTGTATCTCGGGCTGACATAAAAAAACACCGTTGCCACGAAACTTGAAGCTGAGGTGCTGTCATGCTCAAACTCTGAGCTCGTCCTCACTCAATTCAGATGGAGTTGCAAGACAGTTTCGAGCAGCGCACATGTTTAGCAACGCTGGTGCGCACCCATGCGCGCGTGACGACCGCGTAATAGGAGCGACTAGCGACACTAAATGTGAGCCTGTGTCTAATATAACGATACAAGCAACACCAAAGCGGCTGGAAACTGGCTGTGAGAGCCACCTACACACTTTATACATGCAGCGGACCTTGGGAAATATTTTTTTGCAAAATTAATTTTCCCCCGATTTCTAGCAACAGCTCTCTATTGATTAGCAGGCATAAATTTCCGACAAATATTACAGCTCAACTCAGTCAAATTGCGAAGCTAACACATCAATTCAATATTTGGCTTGCAAAGTTTCTTTTCATTACAGAAATTCGATGTTACTGTAGCATAATCACGAAGGGCACGCACTTCTGTCAAGTTTGCCAACTTAGTGAAGTTTTACAACTACACATGCAGATTTGTTCGTGCAAAAGTCTGTAAAAAAATCGCTATGTTGCCCAAGTCGGCAAATTTTTAAAAATTCTGAAAGTTGAGTGGCTGAACCACCTACTAGAAAGTGCTGAGTGCACGAGAAAGGAATCTAACATGCCAAAATCGATTTGAATAGGCGTGGTAACGAAAGAGTTAAAACACCGTTGGGGCCTAAAGAATTCTCAGAAAAGGGCTCTAAACTTCTCTCCTTCGGCTAGTCCACTGAATGCCACCCATCGCTCTTTATTATGATTTGTAATTTATAAAGGCTGTACTATTTGCAATTTTTGATGCTTTTGCAATTTGTTGTCCTTACCCTGGCTCCTCCTGCCATGAAATCGTCTACAAGTAATTCAACAGTAGATGTTCCATCCTTTTTGGTGACTATGTCAAATGTATTGGATAAGAAATTGTGTGGATTTATTGCATTCAAAAACAGCTAATTGCTAGAATATTTTTGAGAGGAAAGATTTGTTGGTCATATGGCAGCCTTGTATATTTCGCAGAATGTCGTGTAGCGACGTTGGTCAGAAAATTTATTTTGGGAGTATCACTTCTCACTTCAATGCAACTTTTTTTCACATATTAAGTAAATGCATTTGTGTAAGGTGTTCACAGCTCGGCAATATTGATGTAATTTTTCTGCCACATACACCTTCGGAAAAACGAAGCAAAACACAGTGCAAAACATAGGACAGTGAAAGAGACAAAGCGCTAACTGTATCTTTCACTGTCCGCTTTTTCTTGCTGTTTTTCACTTCATTGGTCATCTACCAACTGGCCCAAATAAGCACTTTAGTACACCATTGGAAGTTTGGCCAAAATGTTCTGTTTGTATTTTTTTCCTTAGTAATATTGTGCCATGTATGAATGTTGAGTAATCAAACGTAATGGGAAGTGTATTTAATGTTAAAAATATTTTTAGACCAGAAAAAAATTATATATTTAAGAAAATATTGATGTAGGTCTCAATTTACACCACATAGTGCTTCAATTGAAAATCAGCTTTATACCTCATTCAAAAGTAAGTAAATAAGTTGTTCTTATTTAGCTAGTTTTATCATTATATTTTTTTTGTTTTAGGGAAGAAAATTATTTTTAGGGTTCCCCATTGATGGCATTCCGGATTTTCAATGCAGAAGCTGCCATATTGAGAAATGGGAAGACGGCCATCAATGAGGAACTTTTAAAATTTTCTTATACAACTGCAGGTGCACTTGAGGTGCACTTGCAATATGGTGCACTTTAATCTTAACCTAATTTGCCGTCCAAAACAAAACATTTTGTTTGAATGCAGATGACTGCCTATTATACCCTGTACGATGACTTCTTTCGCGAGAACCTGCCCAAGCTGTATGCACACTTCAAGAAGCACAACCTTACTTCAGACCTGTACCTGGTTGACTGGTAGGCTCAGCTTTTTCAGGTAAATTTCGATGGCACTTCAGCTATGGTTTCTGTGCAGGATATACACGCTATACAGCCGATCCCTGCCCTTGGATGTGGCTTGCAGGGTGTGGGATGTCTTCCTGAGAGATGGTGAAGAGTTCCTCTTCAGGTCTGCACTTGGTGAGCATTTTTTTAATTTAGCTACTGCTGTCACTAAATGATCTTTTTGGTTACAGGCATTCTGCGGCTGTATGAGGAGGTGCTATTGCGACTCGATTTCATCAACCTGGCCCAGTTTTTGACCAAGTTGCCAGAGGACATGAGCTCTGATGTATTATTCGATGCGATAGGTGCCATTCGCATGACTGTGAACAAGCGAAATTTCGCACAGGTTTTGGCCAAGCACAGAGAGTTGGCTGGGTGATATGGAGGGCAGCTTGTACATTTGGAATTTAGAGTATGTTGCAGAAATGAGCACTGTTCTGAATACATCTTTGCAAAATCAAGAGGAACACAGTGGCATGTCGCACACTTTTTTTTCCTATTAGCAACCTCTTTTCTTTTTTCTGTTATTATTATTCCTGCTTTGTGCTAGATCGTTTTGTTTGTGGTAGATGTCGACTGGCTCGCTTATGTGTAGTGTCCAGTTCTAGTCAATACTCACAACCAGCTGAAACTAAGAGGGAAATCTTGAGCAAGGAGTTATTAGAGTCTTGCTGAATCTGTGTTGTGGCGACCATTGCCGAGTGTAGAGAAAACTTGTGTTGGTCATCATGAGTGTGTGTCATCATGGGTGTAGGCTGGCTAGAGCTGGGGAGTGTTGGTACTAGGTGTTTTGCGTGGCACTGTCCAAAACACATCAAAGCAGAATATGGCCACATAGAAGTTCTTACAGCAAGTGCAGCGTCTTCTTTTTTTTTTTTTTTTTTTTTTTTTGGTACTGCATCTGTGCTGTACCAAGAGTTTCTGACTAAATGTGGGCTCTTCGTCATAACTAGTTTTCTATTGCCAACTTTTGCTTCTGGTGACGTCACTCTGGGGGCATATTAATAAACTCATGTGATGCTAGCAGGCCAGTAGCATAACGTAAGTTCTGGATGGTTCCAACTAGAGAACAGTGCTGTCAGCCTGTGGGCCTGTAAAGGTCACTGTTGCTGGGCGTCCCTTCAGAAGGAATGCCTTGCATACAATTTTTTTCAGTATTTATACCATTCCACGTGTGGCAGGGTATGTTGTGTTGTTTCCAGAAGGCCAGATTCTGTAAGCAGCAAGGCTGCATCTGTTCCATACCATGGTATGCAATCTAGCTGGTGGAAAAACTGTTCCTCTCTAAGGCAAGACAAAGTCTTCCATCCAGCTTGGTGTATAGGAGGTTTAATCTCTCTGCAAGCAGTGAGTGGGGCTAGTTGTTGAATCTGATATGCAATATTCTGCCCTGTACAATATTCTGCCCTGTACAATATTACTCTTGTCACCCCATTGTAACACATCTCTAATAAATTATGTGGCACTGTTGCCCACTTATGTGTACAGTTAGATTGGGTGTTTTTATGTCCCATTTTTTTAATTGTACTGCAAACAAGACATGATTGGTTCATATCATTTAATACATTTTTTTTTCACTCACATGGAAACAATGTGCATTGTTTCTCAACTGTGCAAAGTTGCCCATTAGCAAATGTATACATTATGGTGGTTTCTTCTGCAGGCTTAGTTTACAAAATCAAGGACGAATGGGACACACACTTGTATAGAAATGCTTAGGTTCATGCATGTGGAAGAAATGTACAAATATGTATAAAAATAAATAAGCCTTCTGTACATGCAGTTCTGCTTTTCTTGTTGAATGTGTATACTATTTGTGCCTTACAAAGAATTGCAAACTTGAACAGCTAAGCTTTACTCAAATGCTGTTTTCATTTTTGCAGCCTCGCTTCTGCATTGTCATCAAATGTCTCGAGCAAAGCTCTCAGTACATGCACAGTACATACTCTCTTATTGAAACAAGACATCCATTTCTGATGACTTGCTCGTGATAAGTGTCATGTCTCTTTGAATGTGGACACTAAATGTGATGCTGGCTGTGATGTGTTTGTCAAAACTATGCCGATATTATACAAAGTGTAGACGATGGAAAATATGTGCATAACATAGCTTTACAATTTCACGTTTCAATCCACAAGTATAGTTCATGCTTAATGCACCATGCATTTCCATTAAACATTTGCAATGTTAATGCAGCACCTTGGGATCCCACACCACCTTGCCAGCCGAGATGAAGTATTATCAATGCAAGATGATTTCTTTTACAGAGTATAGCCGAACAGTGCTGAACCTACAGCAGTTTATGCAGCCAGAGGCACTAATGAGCAAATGTGTTTTTTGAAGCAATGCAGCTGTAGTATAGTACTGTGCACTAAATATATTAACACTGAGTAAGGTAACATCATTATTAGAATATATAAATATATATATGAGATCTAATAGACAATAATGCCAAGGAATGTATAGGGGAAGTTATTAGAACCAATGTAATGTAAATAAGATGAAAGAAAAGTGGGTGAAAAAATAACTTGCCGTGAGCAGCTCACGGCAAGCTATTTTTTCACCTACTTTCTTATTTACATTACATTGGTTCTAATAACTTCCCCTATACATTCCTTGGCATTATTGTCTGTTAGATCTCATTAATATTGTGCCAAACCACGGAAAAAACGAGCCCTTATGTATACACTTCTTTCCCTTACATATATATATATATATATATATATATATATATATATATATATATATATATATATATTTACTTCAGTGTAGTGAATACTGACTTTTAAAAATGCTAGAAACAAGAATGCGTGTCCATAGCGTTGTAGCAGATTGCCTTCGCAAGTAATCGGTTCTTATCGTGTACTCACCCACGTGCTAAACGACAGGCTGACCAGTTCATGATGTCCAAGTGTGCGCACATTGGGCACATTGGTGCAGGATTGTGTGCATCCCCCATTAAGTAAATGTTGCCGTCTTCTATAGTTGTACCTGACCACAGTGTAAGAATATACATATTTTGGTGCCGACACACTCCCCCAAATGTGAGAAAAATCTCGCTATCCTCGCTTGTCCAGATTATGTTCGGACCGTTACCGGTTGGATTGCAGCTTAGCCGGTGCCTTCTTTGATCGCGCTACGACAAGCGGGGTCAGTTGTCTAGGCAGCAATGCGCATGCGGCTGATTCTGCATCGTTTCGCTGGCATGTGCAGCCATGCTGTATTGAAGCCAGGCTCTCTTTTTTGCATGTGTTTTATGATATCGTGTACACAAAGGAGGCATCGAAATGCTGAAAAGTGTCTGCAAAAATTAGTAGAAAGTGTTTTGTACAGAAATTCTATTCTGACTATTGGATTTGTGCGGAGCATGTGCACCTCTCCAAAGTGCCATTCAACATTGATCTCTTGGAGTAGTGACGCCATGCAACGCTGAGGGTAAACTGAACTCAAATGCCTTCCGACCATGTCTGCGCTAAGCATATTTCAAAGGACATGATTTCAACTGCATATCACGCAGAGTTCAAGGAGAGGGTGCTACTTGATGCACCAAAAAAGCCTGATCTATTTGTAAATGCCATTTTCGCCTTATTTTTAAACTGTCCTAAGTTCTTCACATGGTCAAATAAACCTAGAAAGCTACACAGAAGAAAGAACGTGCTGTGCAAGCACTCAAACGATGTAAGCAGAAAAGTTATTAAATCGACACATTGATGTTAATAATACATTAATGTTGATAGCTCATACATGATGGCATTGGGGTGCTTGCAATATATAGTGTAAATATATAATATTCCAATAGAGGAACAATAATTGCTAGAGCTGGGGTTTACACTTTACAACCACGATATGATTGCGAGGAATGCCGTAACGAAGGGCTCCTAATTTTGATCATTTGGAGTTTAACATGCACCTACATCTAAGTAATGGGTGTTCGATCGATGCATCTCGCCCCCACTAAAAAAGCGATCATCGTGCCCGACAACTGATGTACAACACGCTGGCTAAAATTAAAATTTTGTTTGCATGGATGAGACGACAAAACTAGTATGCACTAGCAGAACTGTCCGATTGATCTGTTGTCATGACAATTGCCCCCTGCACTAGGCATTTTTATGTCCGCGAATTTCTAAACCGGGTACATTTTTTTTTTTTTACCGAAGTAATATTTCCTTTGCGTTTTGGGTGTTACCAGAGTCCTTCAAAGCACTGAAGTACTCTGGTTTTACTCGCACCACTATGAACGGAAACGTTGGGGAGGCAGAGGATTTTCCGAGTCGCCAGCATTGCTTCGCTGGGTCCGTTAACAGTGCCATTTAATGGTTTGCAGCTGAGTGCACCTTGCAGTAGCTGAACATATGGCCGCCTAGGCATGCACTGTTGTCACCACCTGAATCGGAGTCGTTCGGTGCTCTGCCTGAATATTCTTACACCATGTACACCTTTTCACAGGAAGGGAAAGACTCCACCATGTTGGGCTGCACGGGGGTTGTACAAAGGCTGACGTCGCAGCCTCTGCAGTGCATTTCTGGGGGGAGTCAAGCCAATTTATGCAGCCCTGAAAGGACTGATAGCGCCGAGAGAGCCGTTTTTGAATGCTTTTTTTTTTTACTACTCTCTCACTTGCTACTTACTGAACGACAATTGTTTCTAGGATAGTACCTTCTGTAGATCCCAGCCATACACTACTATTAGCAGCGATTTCTGCTGCAAAATTGGAGAATTTCTTGTTACCTTTAGAGGCTTTTTTTTCCCTAACAGAATGTGTTCAGAAAGTTTAAATGGGCCCGGCAGGGGAGGTTGTGTTCTGGTGTAAGAACAATAATGCTGTATGGTCACAATTTTTCTCTGCACCATAAATTTTCTGGCCATGACTTGACCTTGTAATTCACAGCCACAGCTTCAGTTTTTTCCACAGTTGTTGCAAAACAAAACGAACGTTAAGTTTTGTGTCCCTGCTTCATGTGACAGTAGCTAAGCTATTCCTGTGTAGTAGTTATATGTAGGCTTGTACAAATATTTAAACAAATATTCTGTATTCTAATTTGCTTTGATTTTAATTTATATTAAAAATTTCTAAGTATTTGAAATGGTCGAATAAATGTATATTACATGTAACCACCTATAAAGGTGGTTTCACTGCAGTGAAGTGCCAAGCCGTGAAAACACCTATCCAGAGATAATCTGCATTGTCGGAAAGCCTCACTGAAAGATCAAATGAACATGTTGCCCTCTGATCGGTTTATCATTGTGTAAGTTTAAAGGTTTTTATTCCTTCTTAGTTATTTACACTTCCTTTGAACCAAAAAGAATGGCATTTGTACAGGCATTGTTAAATAGAAAGAAAATTATTGTGCAAGTTAGGTTATGACAAATATGCCCATCTTTCTCTACATGTGATATATACTATTCAATTCGAAATTATTAAACCAAAATCACTATCTGCTTCCAACTTAGTTCACTATTTACACAAGGCTCGTTAATTGTGTAGTCACTTTCCACTACATTTACAAAAATAACTGCGTGTACACGCCATGAATGTATATTGGGCACGTAGATGCCACTCGCTATTGTTTATCGATGTTGGAAATTTGTGTACTCGCCATTCTGGGCTCCAAGAAACAACCAGACAGTATAAGTGTAGAGGTATGGCTGAGCGAAATGTGCTATTTGAAATGAGCCAAAGCATCAAGAAGTGCTAGTCAACGTAGCCATTTTTATATCGATACAGTGAAACCCCATTACCACTTGCTGGGAGTTGCGTATGACAAAAGCATGTTCACAAGTGCGACTCCTTGGCATAACCTCAGAGGTAAGGGGGTGCTGAGGCATCGGGCACCATGCCTGGACCCATGACGAAGCAATAACCGCTACGTAAACATCTGATCGGGTGGTATTTGAAGCTGCTAAAAAGAGTGCACCAGCCCTGCAGCCTCGCCAAGCTTGTTTCGTTAGGGCATGCTAATTCGAATCTGAATATCTGTGCTATTTCAGTACAACAGATGTACGTTATAGGCTATAACAAAGCCATTTTCTGTGCGTTGAATATGACATAACGAAGGTTTATTACTCAAATATTTAGTGAAGGACAAATTTTGTAGTCATTTGCCCTTATGTGTGCACAATGCAGAAACGCTTTTTACTAGACATCAGAATGTCTGATTAGATGAATTGGTGATTTGTGATAAATAAAATGCATGTGTGTAAGTATGCTTCATTTCACTCATCATGTGCAGTGCTGTGGAAGCTATGCAAGAAGTTCGGTTAGCAAAATTCATTGCTCTGTGCGTCTTGTGGTCGGCATTTGTCATTGTAAATGCTCGCACAAGCCTCTGCGTGACGGCCTGCAAAACGAAGTAGCAAAGTACGAAATCGAGACTAAGCGACGCAGCTGTATATTGACAACTTTGTAACAGGGTTTGTTTATTTGTAAGGCATAGAACATGCTTATTTAATACTCTGCCTGAAAAAAGAAAAAGCTATTTTGAATGGTATAAACACTGAGAAGTCTTTCACTGGCCTCTACAGCATTGCATTTGGTGTGTGAAACAGTATAGTATACACAGAGACACAAAAAGACACGGACAAGTGCGTAGCTTGTCCCTATCTAGTTGTGCACTCTTATTTCAAATATGAGGCATATAAATAAAATGATCTGATCTGAATAAAATGTTACATTTCAGTGATAAATTCAAATTTTAGCATTCAAGAAAAGAATTCAGATTCAGGATTAACTAAATTGAACCACCTTTCTCTAGAATAAAAAAAAGGAAAATTTGATAAACAATAAACATGCCAAATGGAGATTCACAATTAACAATTACAGGTAAGCAATAATTGCCAAGAAAGTTATTTCTTTGACAGGATTTTCCAGGCTGTCAGCTGCTTTGAGTAAAGAGCTTATAGTAATACATAATACTCCTATCACAAGGGTAAATTGTCACTTTAAGCAAATGCACTTTAGCACACCGTCACTTCAGTGGCACACTGCTGCATGCTACCGAAGAAAAGAAAAGGTAAAAAGTATTATTTGTTATTGGTTAGTGTACTATAGCTTTGTCCAATATGCCAAACAAATTTGAGTACAAATGAAGCAAATCATGTTCACATTAAAATCATCATGGGCCATCCCATGGCCACACAATAGCAGCAGCTGCAAGCACAGCTGCTGCTATTACAGTATGTATGGTGGCATGCCCCTAGTGACCAAAGCCACAAACAATCCAAAAACAATACGAAATTTTTTGGGGGACGAAGCTCCTTATGATCTAGGGCAGTCCCTTTCTCCGACATAGCCAGTACAGTGTATACACAGACGGACGCTTCGCCCTACTCGTAATTCACCCTGTGGAAATGTGTAAATTTTTTTGCACTACAGTTTATTTCAAATCCAATTTATTTACACATTTATACAATGTTGAGGAACTAACATTCTCAAAATTGTATTTTTTTGCTTTCTGCCCGATGAAATTATAACTGGAACAATTGTAAAGGGCCACTCACACCAATATTCAAAGCTGACTTTACCCTAACATATGTCTCCTGTATACAGGGATGGCTTAAGCAGGTGTGATGCTCATGAATTGCTGACCAAATACTTTATTTCGACATTGAAGTCGATTTTCATGTTGTGCCTCTATTGACATTGACATGACCAAGACATGGCTACAGTCTCAATTCTGGTAACCTCGTGTACCAGTATGGCTAGTTGTGATGATGTCTGTTATCAAAACATACAATATGGGTTCTTGGGTGTCATAACAGACAGTGACATCAAGGTGACGTCTCTAAATTTTTTATAAGTCTTCAACTTCTCCAACAAAATGTTCGCAATAAGTTTTTTAGTAATCACAATGACAGTACTCCACAGTAGTCAAAAGAACTATTTCTCCTTTCATTTTTGCACTCACAGGTGTGCATTGACAAGTAAAAAAGAAGGCACATCTTAGTTTTCAACTGTGGCATGCTGCATGAATATGCATGATCCTTGTGTGTGTGCATTACATGTTTTCACTTTGTACAAAATTACTTATTTTGTCACTTTCTACCAGTGAACTTTTCCTTATATACTGAACCTTTAATGTGTGATATGTGTACTCACAAGTTTTGGCAGCATATGTTACACCCCTTCTTCATAGACGTGTTCAAAAGAACATGACTAGTGTCAGAATTTACCCATGACACTATGACTTGCAACATAGCTTGTGCCGTAGCCTTCGCTGTGTGTGCACTGGTGTGCATCCGAGTTCTTGGGCACCTGCAACAGTTGAAACGTGTATCAAGAAGGTTTTCACTTGGGCTTGCTTTTTAATTGAGACGAGTGGTGTTGCGCATAGGACGGGACAAAGGAAAGAACATGACGACGAACACAGAGTGCAAACTATGAACAGTTAATTGACGAGAGTAAAATGACTAATTTATACATTTTCACAACATTGTGCATTGCAGCAAAGCAACTTAACGAAATGCATTTGACAGTGGTGCAAATTCAAATCACGGAAACATCAATGTACACATGGTGATTTACTGCCAACGGTGCAAGATAAGAAAGTATCACTACACATGTACCATGACACTCGTATGTGCTAATTCCTTCTTGACCCTTTGTACGACAGTGGGACACATACATACCACTTTTCTGTCTAGAAAAAAAAAAATTTTCTCCCACATCACCCGTTGCACTTAGCACAGCACTAAGTCACTGCTCCGCTAAGTCACTCATATGTAACTTAAGTCTTTGTAGTCTGTCCATGTTCCTGTCCTGATAGTCCCCAACGATGCACAAAGAATTGACATGTTGCTGGGCCGAACGTTCACAAAACTACCCAACGTCATGTATGCCAAGTTAAGAAGCACTTTCCGCTTCTACGTACCACATAAATGATTGTTTTTTTGCTCATCTGGTGTCATCAGCACAGCAGCTTGAACTGCACGTGGCAGCCACAGAAGAACTTGGGCTTCAAAAGGATTCTGTCAACTACATCACTACATTCAGCCATGGCTCTGTGACCAATTTTCTAGGAGACTGTGGATTTAATATGCTTCCCGAGAGGAAATCAGGAATCACAGTGACTGTTGACAATCCTGAGCAGCTTGGTTGGGATGTCAGATTGAAAGCAGATGAGTGTAACAAGAACAACGCCTTAAGCAAGAGTACCAGAAAGATTTTATTCAAGATGCTTCATGGCTACAAGTCAAGTTTTTGTGAATCACAACTTCAGTAGCTTAGCAATACAGAAATCCCTTCACAACCAACTCAGAAATTAAGGCCACATGTACGTTAATGTTTACTGGAGGATCCCAAGTGCACGAATGATCCCTCCAATCACCAACGCTACCCTCTAGAGCCTTGCGAAATTGGCAGAATGGTATTTATGAGCAAGGGCCTTGTAAATGCCAGTTATACGATTAAAAATGAGCCAAAATGTGATGAACTCCTCATCACACACGCTTTGCCTGCATACTCTCACCGTGTTGCTAACTTACATCCTGAAAGGAAGGGCCGATTTGCAAGAGCTGCCTACGCCTCACTACTAAATAAGTGGTGTCCTCCGTATAAAGCACCACATCATGGCAATCGATCATCCAAAGAATCGCAACAAGACCTAGATAGTCCAGTGCATAAACATTTTCAGCTCAAATGCGTAGAACCTGTGATTGAGACTACGTCATGTGATTTTTTTTTTGTTTGTTTCTCCATTGTGTGCCTGTGCCAAATTTTTGTGCTGTGTAAACTTCTTTTTCTTCCACTTCCTGTTGTCACTTCATGCAAGATCAAGCCAGTCAAGATGGCCAGGAGGTATGACTTCTATTCAGAGTTTAATGTTACAAACTGGTCAATTTTTCAGTGTTGTGATGAATTTCGGACATCAGTGTTGGACAGGGTGGTTTTTTTGTTGCTGTTGATCTTGTTCCTATCGTGCCATCTAGTAGGAAGATGGCTGAAATTTTCGCATGCAAAAATCATCTCAGTACTTTGGGCAGAAAGCAACTTAACAAGGACATTAAGTCGCTTCAGGATGGCCAAATGTTGGAAAAATGCTAGCGAGTCCATGATATGCACATGCCCTGTTGTGAACAGTGAAGGAAAACGACAACCTGGAAGCGGTGACTCTCGTGCTATTTTGCCTGTCTGGCATTTGTAGCCTTGTGGCTTGTGCGATTCTTAAAGAGTTTAGTAAAGTATCTCTCTTTTACAACGTCTTGTGAAGCTTCAAGGATACCACGAAGACAACATGGTTAAAAAGCATGTTGATAGGGGTCGCAGCGCAAGAACGAAAGTGCTGAAAGAAAAGTGTATCGTCCCTCTTTGCTTGCCGTTTCTCGCCTTGCCTTCCGTAACACTTTTTCTTTAGCACTTTCATGCTAGCGCTGCAGCCCCTATCAACATGCTAAAATTATGTCCACTAACTCTCCTCATCACCGCTTGCTTCAGTGGTTTCATCCCAAATACCCGTTGAAGCAATCACGACATGGTGCTTTCATGACGCAGTGGGACAGTGTTTTCCCACTTTTTCAAAAAACTCTCACAAGTCAGTTGGATACTTTGTCCCCTTTTTTTTCTTCAGTAAACTTCTCGCTTGATTTTGATTTTGTTTCATACTATTTTTTTGTGGTATATATCAATATACCACAGCCATTTTTTATATCACTGTGTCAAAAATATAGGTGAACCTACAAAGGGTTAAATAATGCGATAGAAGCAGTTGGACTTGTGATAGTGTGGGCTCCTATAATGAGGTGGGTCATCTCATCCTTTGGCACACAACCGTATTTGTTGCAATAAATTGTTGATAGTTTGCACTCTGTGTGTGTCGTCATGTTTTTGTTTTCCTTTTTTTTTTTTGTCCTGTCCTATGCACAACACCGCTTGTCTCATATAAAATGTGTAATGACAAACTTATCCAAGTGACATTTTCGCAGTAGTCTTTAGCTGGGTGTTGTTCTGAGCCATAGTACCACATTAGTTACATGTATAAAAAAACACACATTACAAATCACTTTTCTGTAAAGCCTATTTCAAAGAGATCGCAGCCATAGGCCAATGTCTGTGGCAATATGCTTGCCTTTAATTTCTGTATTGGGTGTGCACTTATAGTTTACACACAACAAAACTAGTCGGGACAAATTCAGTAGGTGCGCACTGAGCATACAAGAAAGCAGAAAACTAAAAGAGCACACAAGAACTAGCTTTTTCAATTTGAAAAGATGCTATAAAAGTAGGCTGCAAGCTCGCTTCTGCCTCGCCGCGGTGGTCTAGTGGCTTAGGTACTCGGCTGCTGACCCGCAGGCCGCGGGTTCGCATCCCGGATGCGACGGCTGCATTTCCGATGGAGGCGGAAATGAAGGCCCGTGTGCTCAGCTTTGGGTGCACGTTGAAGAGCCCCAGGTGGTCGAAATTTCCGGAGCCCTCCACTACGGCGTCTCTCATACGGTAATCATATGGTGGTTTTGGGACGTTAAACCACACATATCAATCAAAGCTCGCTTCTTTTACGCCAAGTGCAGCCATTGCACGTAGGTAACGAGATACAGTACACAAATATACTCACCGCTGGCACCAACCAAAGGAGACACCCTGTTTGGTGAGAAAAGTCTCCTGCCTGCAGAAGAAGCCGGCACAGTTCGCTGTGCAGCACGTACAAACTCCAGCAGGTCATGATAAGCGCTCAAATTCCACAAGCCACTCTTGGCAGTCTCGTGTAAGTCTGAGTGTTCCACGCGAGTAAGACACATAGCTGCAACATCAGTAAGTTGAGCTGATTCCTCTTCACTGAAAGCAGGAAAAGGGTAAAGTGAGGTGAATCAATCACTTTAATATGGTGAGAGTGCGCACTCTGTACTTATAGGGCTCCTCAGCAGGTGTCATTGGAAAGATCAGCTATACACCAGGAGACATACATAAAGCTCTGCCTATAAGCAATATAATACAAATGTAGCACTGGTGTAGCCCTCGCAAAAGCACCCCTCCATGCCCTTCGAACTTTTATTTTGTATGTGTACATGCACGCAATAGGATCTCCTAGATCATCTACCCAGCCAGACAGATTTCTGTCGAAATGTTTACATTTAAATACAAACGCATGCGTGAACATACACATAAGCATCACTCAACCACCCTCCTCTTTCCAAAAAAGGGTTACTGGCTTCACTCCTGAAATCCATACACGGTAGTATAGTGGAGATAGAAGAATATGTAAAATGAAAAGTTGTGAGGTGACAGTTCGAGTCTTTACAGCACTCTCTCTCCTATTGCCTCAACAAGCCCACAGAAACGAAATTATTTGCCCTGTCTTCTCCAGTATAAAAGCCAAAACCCTCCATGTAGATTATTACAAAAAGACCCCTATACTTTTCTCTCTACATTCTTTGCTTACTACATAGTTCACTTGCAGAAGAACTTTTTGTGCTCCCTATATTTTGCAGTGGTGCCAGCTAACTATGCGTACTGCAAAGGTAGATGATGTAGAGCCATTTCCGGTGGCTAAGTAGGCAGTGCCTTCATGAAGGGCATGTGCACAGTCACTCTTTTCATAGTGTGTGCCAGCTGCTTCCACACCTAACAGAAATTTTGAAACCTAGTGAAGGGCCCTTTTTAAGCTCTAATGACTGTCATATGTGACAAAAAAATAGCTCACTTAAATTTCAAATGCCTTATTACAAGCATTTTTTTCCAGGCTTTGAAAACTGCTTCTAGTGTGATTCTTGTATACAGTGCCTGCACAGATGCAGGCAGTTCCACGAGAACTGGTATTACTGTATCTAAAACTTCATCCAGGATGGGTAATATAAGGTCATTTCTGTTTCCCCCTGCAAAGATGAAAGGGAGAAAATCAAGCATTAGATGAAAAATGCCTTGTATTATCCTCACACCGGCTATTGTGTATGCGGATAAGAATATGATACCTTGCTTATGAAAACGTCTAGCTGTTGGCACTGCTACCTGTAGATTTTTCAGGGTGGCTTTGTAGCAGTTATCCTGGTAACGTGTGGCAACTGAATCCTGTAGGTGCTAAATGTGCCATAAAAGGAAACTATGAGGTTTATTCCCAAGAAAGGAACATCTTGTCATACCTCCAGTGCTTCCACAGCAGAGCCACACAATGAGTTCGCATAGAAAGAAAGATTTGTGAGATCATCGAGCTTGTCCCAAGAAGGCTGTGCACACTTTGCAGAAGCAATAATTGGCTGCAAGTAAAACGCACAAATAAAATGACAAAATATACTACATGCGATCACGTGAAAAATAGTACAATTTTATTAGGCATCGTAAGTTTTTCATATTTGCAATTTTACTGTGTTAGTTTTATTTGAATTTAAAGAAAAGTACACATTTGTTGAGATTGGAACAAATGGTGCAAGGCATGGGACACTGAGAGAACAACAGACAATCGGTGCCAATATTTTTGACAGATCAGCACCCTGTCTGTCGTACTCTCACTGTACTGTGTCTAGTGCCGTCCGTGTGTTCTCTCCTTAGTGATGTATCGCCCAGACCAGTTAGCTGCACTCCTGAAGTACACACTTGAATCATATCTGCACATATTTAGCACAACAAACAGCAACAATGTACTTACTGTCAAATAATATCAATTATTTGACATTAAAATAAGTTTAATCTGGAAAAGACAAAGTTCTTATTGAAGGCTAAGTCGAGAAATTAAAGGGAAGTCATTGAAGTGTTTTTCATTGTGAAAAGGGGAGATAGCTGTGTTAGCTCTCCTTTGATATCTTTATCAAAAGATTAAATAGAATTCTTAAATTGACACAAGTCATTCCCACGTACATGTCGCACACACACTTCAGCTTTTTTTTAAGTGCATTATTGAAAGTGTTTCTTGCTCTTTAGCTTTTGTTGCTTATAGATCACCTGCTTTCCATAAATAAAGTCAGTTGGAACTTCCCCACTTGTGTGTGTGTTCCTGTTTTTGTCCTGTCTTCATCGTGTAGTTTAAACCTTTTTGAAACCATGAACCGACTAGTCCAACAAGATGCCTTACTTAAGTAAGTGCAGGCAGTTTTCTAGCTTTCTGCTTTTAACAAGTACAGGGAAAAAAACAGCATTTGTTGTGGTGAAGTCATTCAACATTTGCTTCACATGGCACTGGGCAGAGATACTCAGAAAAGTCTTCTGGAATTAAGATACTAAAATACATGCGCTGGAAGCCTAAAATATAGATACTACTGCCATACATTTGTTTTTGAAATAACCAGCAATGTACAAAATAGCTTTGAAGAAAGACAAAAAGAATATTCTGGAAAACAGATACAGGAATAAAGATGCAAAAGTACAAATACTAGAACACTTTTTTTAGAATTCCGGGAATGCCAATGCTCCACAAAGAAATTCATTGGGCGCACGGTAATAGTGCGATTAATGTTTTGCCGCATTGAAACTTGCAAGTCACACAAAGAATATCAATGAATTTAAAAAAAAAAGCATACACTTATACTCTAAGCACAAAATCTGTATTGCCGAGATGTTTGTTGCATTACCTGCAACCTGCACTTCTCAAATAGACTCTTGTTTAGATGTTGTGGGTTTGGCCTCAACAAAAGTCTTGTGTAATCACTTCCCACCCGAAAGTAGTTTGGGGTGTGCCACCTGCTTGAGAGAGTGTGGCTTTTGTCGGCAGAGCATGACAATAACGCCTTCATAATTGTGCAGTCACAACATTGAATGCTTTACAACAAGGGATATTCTATTCATGTGGGGAACCTATGCCACCCCGCAGTGTCTGTGACCAGTGACATGGCTTTGCTTGGCTTAGCAAAAATGGCTTTCTTTCCCGCTTAGAAACAGGTCAACTCATTTCCGACAAAAAAAAAAAAAAAAAAGGAGTGAGATACTTGCATTCTGCATAGTATTGCATTATAATCGATATATTTTAAAAGCACTTCACTAATAAGATACAAATACATTTTGCAGATATATCCCGATACAGAAATACACATACTCAAAAGTAAGAGTATCACAATACTGGCCAGCTCTGGTTTCACACAGTTTGCCTACTTTCCTTCCTATAACCCTCCCATAAGAAAAAATACTTGAGAAATGTTTTTATACGTCTACAAAGAGGTGTAGTTAAACAAAAAGGACTCGATGAGGTACACAAAAGTAAATGTGAACATATGACAGCAATTTCCACTTTGATCTCCTGTTCACATCTACATAATATCAGTCCCTGACACTCGCCGCTGTGGTTTAGTGATATTGGCACTCGGACTGCTAACTCGAAGGTCACAGGATCCCATCCCTGCTGCAATTGCTGTATTTTTTTATGTGAAAGTGTTTGCAGCCCATGTACTTAGATTGAGGTGCATGTTAAAGAACCCCAGGCGGCCAAATTTCCATAGCCCTCATCTCTGATAACTATATCGTGCTTTTGGGACTATAAACTCCAGATATTATTATTATCTGCATCAACTAGGCTGCTCATTCGCAATGCACCAGTAGCAGAACACGTTGATTTAATGTATCACAATTTAAATATAGTTTTATGAGTACCATGCATGTTTTATTCAGCTTTGCATTTTCCTTCACAGCTCAGAGTAAACAGAAGCTGGATGTTTACACAGAGTGTTTGTACTGGCCTCGCAGTGATTGGCTTAGCAGGCTGATGTGTTGCACTGAGATGTTTGAATCCTGGCCACAGAAATTGCATTTAGATAGGGGCAAAGCTCACTAACACCTGTGTATTTAGATTTTGATGCACATCAATAAATCCAAGTGGACAAAACAAATTGGAGTCCACCACTAAAGTGTACCTTATAATCATATCGTCAAGAGTCCAATGGAATCCCATCTGGTCGGAGACAAAAATAGTGCAAAATAACAAAAACGCTGACCAAGGTGAAATACACAAAAGTTAAAAAGATGTTTCGGCTCCCCACACGGTAGCCTTGTTCACAGTGACCGCAAATGACGTAGTGCACTCTTCTTATACATGTTTCATCAAGTGTTTCGCCATGATTGCACATGGAATCTCTGGCGATTCAAACTACTGCGCATACGTTGAACAGAAATATTGGGACACTCCCCCCTGTGTACGCGCAATGTCTGCAACACGTGATGAAACGTGCATAAGAAGAGCGCACTACGCCATTAGCGGTCACTGTGAACAAAGCTCACGTGTGGGGAGCCGAAACATCTTTTCAACTTTTGTGTATTTCACCTTGGTCAGCGTTTTTGTTATTTTGCATTATAATCATATCATAGTTTAGGAATAAAGACACCATAAATTATTATGACCTTGAATGTGCATGCGCTTATCAATATACAGCTGCTGCTTTGAAAGCAAGCTGTAAAAACAACTAAAGCGTAACTAAAGTCAATGCACACAGCCTGTTATCAGGCATTGATATGACCTGACATGAAAACTTGTATGATGACGGTAGAGATTAAATTTTTTTTAATGTATTATTATGCCGACAAAGTGAGCATGAATGTATTATTGTGTCGACAAAGTGATCATACAAGGCGGCATTGAACTTCCAATTTGATAGTGCTATAGTTTAAAGAAAACCTCAGCAAAAGAAAACTTTCATGCAATTGAACACTGCAAATTGCAATACTGCCACTGGCTAACATGGACAGATCAAATATGAGCTTTGCAAATTGAGCTCACGATGAATTTATAGCCGCACCACAAACTGACATCCAAACGATCAGATTTGGAGCAAGACGGACACATGAAAGCCATGTTATCTTTTTATGACTTGCACAGTCACTTCAATATTCACAATGTAGGAATGTGGCCATCTATCATCGATATGCATGTCCTACTCATGCAAACAGGGACCCACAAAGGCGGTCGATCAACAGCTTTACTTTGATGACATTCACATGGCAAAAATCCTTTTCATCATCCTGAAATCTTCATAAACCCTCAGTCCACCAATACATGAAGCTGCATGTGCTGCGGTATCCAGATGTAGCATGTGTGAGTGCACTGAGAGAGCATAGTCAAGAGCTCAAGCACAGATGCAAACAACGAGTTTCTTTCGGAAGAGGTGACAGAACCATGTGCCACAGTACCACCTGGCTCCTTTTGGGTTCCCTATATAGTGTGCTGAAATTACACAGAAGCAACTCTAGCACACATTAGAACACACCATTAGATTTCATGGTGCGCGCTCAACTTGTGTGCACTGACGTAGCTTCTCTACCCCGTGTCATCTCTCCCCGGGTAGCATCAAGTCTATTCATTAAGACGATAAAAGAAAAAATAACTTGAAGACTCTGACCAGTCACTCCACCCGTGCTTGACAGATTACAAAAATGTTTGCAGCAGTCGATTCGTGAGGCAATAAACTCAGATACTGAGGTCATTCAATGATTACATGAAAAAGTGTTTCAGAATCTCTTCAAGACCAACTATAAAAAAATTAAAAATAACAATACAAGAAGGCAGAGCATTTCGTGAAAGGCAAGAAAATTGCTATCAAACTTGCCTGCAGATCACAGAAGATGAGTTGAGGTAGCAAGGGTGGTGCCCATGAATGCAGATTGCTGCGTAGACTAGCTTCAGCCCAATGAAATGTGTGCCAGAGAGTCAGTGCCAGATAGACTTTTGCTACACACATTATAAAAAAAATAACAGTGTATTTATTAAGCAGAGCTGTGCCAAAGAAATGGTTAGAGCTACATTAAATTTCAATACAACAAAATTCAATACATATAGTAAAATTCTCGATCCACAAAAGTATTTAATTTTTTACAACTTCGTGTCCACAGATCACCATGCATCTTTAGCCTCAATATAGTGAAACATGTTAGTTCATAATTTCAATACTATACTGAAGTTTCAAAGCTGCTACAAGGGAAGATTGAGGCAATAAAGTAAGACTGCCACTAGTGATAGTGGTGAAAACATACGACTTTTGAGAACACACTTTTAAAATTGCACGCAACTCGATATAGAGCAAGTGCCATGGTGGAGCAGGATATTTTCCAGCAGCGATCAGGGTGCAAAGGGAAACCCAGATGCTCTTCTGTTGTTTACCTTTAGAGTGAGGGAGAGAAAGAGAGTATGCTTGCAAATACCTCTCTGGCGCAACGTATCGTGTACTCAAAAAGCAACATAGTCATAGTTCTGTGTTTTTTTCCAGCCGTGCCTTGTGTAAGTGACAGATTTTTGTTGATGTTTATTGCCATGTGTCAAATAATCGGGTGGTAGTAGTAAATGCAATGAGTTCTCACTTATCTTGCAAGTGATCAAAATCAACCTGGAAATGTAGGTCACCGATAAGGTTAGTGATACTATCTTGCAAACAATATTAACTAGCAGAAAAAAGACATTGCCATTTGTTTTGGGATACTGAAGAACTCGCTCTTCAGAATCTCTAAAATACAAAAAAAGAAGAAAAATCTTGTGGATTCTCTAAAATATAAAATAAGGTCTTAATGAAAGCAATTTGAATTAGAAGATGCTTTTACTTGAAATGTAAGTTTTCTCGGTCAGTGCACCAATGCAACAAGTTTGTAGTACCCGATTGATTTTTTGGAGTTGCTCACAGTTACCCTCCACACCACTACGAACTTTATCATAAAATTATGTGAGAGTTCTACAGAACTTCCTTACAATGATAGAAATTCGTACTGGGAATTGCTCAATTCCCAGAATTATGCATGCATGATGTTGCAAAACAGAAAAGATTGCCAGAAAATCGCTGTAATTTAACTTTTCACTTTGCCTTCATGCGGTTTTAGACCTTAACTCGTTTGTTTTTGTGTTGTGCACCAGTTCTAGTGCTGTGTGTTCATCACCTGACTCTCCATGGAAAGCAAGTGGTTCGGTTCACTAAAAATACAGCTTTGATGCTGTGGCCACTATGAGCAAAACCCAATGTTTTGATGGAAAGCCACTGCAGCAAAATGGGGGTGATGCCACTATGTGTCAGACCTGCATTTTTGTCAGCTTTACGCACAATATATGTCCCTGCTATGAAGAACACTTCTGCTGCGCCTAATGAAGTCACGGTCATTAAATCTTGGGTTCATCAAAATTAATTTTTAAAATGCAATTGAAATTGGTTGCCTATTCCATACTATACTCTACTATTTGAACTTTTGCAACACCTTTTCAGTAATGAAGAATCCCAGCAACATCCTTTCAGTAATGAAGAATCTCAGTAACCATACACTGTATTAAAGGTCAAATTTAAATGTAACGAAGCTTCAACATTCTTGAGTCAATGGACAACATAATCAATCTTGTTATGTCGATGTTTAGCTACACGTAAGGTGGCAATACTGAAGAAGCATATGCTCAAAAGTGTAGCTCACAATCTAAGCCGTCAAAGACATCAAAAGCCCCACATATACAGAGTGCTTTTACAAGCATTTCCTGGTGTTGCATCTATTGACACCATCACATGAATGATGACAGAGAAAACAACGAACTACACAACAAGCACACACCGTGTAGACCAGTACCAGCCAAGTGTCGCACGATATGACCAGAAGAAATAAACTTGGAGCCTTATAAAGAAGTGTGAACTATTATTAACATAAAGTGTACTCTGGGTAGTTGTCCACTTGAAATGTCTACCTCAAAGTGAACTCTGAAATGGGCAGATGCTATATTCAATTTCATATGTCACATGGTATCATGTAATATATTTTTGAAGCAAATGTTATGAAGGTTTAAGGTATGAGGCACTGTTGTTCTTGTTCCACTAAAACAGGAATGAAAGCTCATACCTCGATCCTTCTCAGTTTTGGAACAAGTTCCTACAAGTTTCTTAAATGCAAAGGGAACTCGTTACAGTTACATTTCCGAAATTGAAACGTGCCAATACAGCAACGTTACATTTGACTTTTTAATAAAATTACATACAGTGTACGATAATCCTGAGTTAAAACAAGGCAAGAAAATTAATGTTCACATCGAGTAACATACATTATAACTATTTAATATCGCCAACAGCAGGTTATACATAGGTAAAACACTCCTAGACAAGCTTCTTAGAGACCACTGGCCCTACTAAACACATATTAAAGTGCCACTTTCGTGCTTGTCTATTTCAAGTCCAACACATGCGGCCCTGCATCAGTTGGTCTTCAAAAGCGTAGTGAGGATTCTATACTTCAGATATTCACATAGAAACACCAACCTACCAATGTAACTAGCTTTCTTGCACGAAAAACCGCATCGAAAGAGACAATACTTAGGAATTTCATGAGCGCTGATTCAATATATCAGTGCATAGTAGAAAATAGATAGTAATAGCTTAGTGGGCTTAGCGGCATAGCATGCTTAGTGGGGTTGTGGAACCGAAATGTGCATGCGCAGCACGCTATACGCCCCATAACGTGTACCGTGTGCACTCTATTTTTTAGATTTAGCGTTACCGTGTGTGTGTGGTTTACGTAGTGCACGTAAAACATGGTGGCAGTTTGGACACCCGTTTCGAACTGAATTTAGCATTCGCGGGGAAGGATACATGTATGTTGTAGCAAACAACTGAGTAAAATAACTTCAATTGTCTTCAGGTAGCTTCAAGGACTGAGTATTATGAATAACTTAGCGTAGTTTTTGATATTACTTGCCATTTCAAATGCCCCTAGGCCTAACTAGAAGACCAGTGTAAACGAATCAGCAACATAAAAATTTTCACGTTTGGTGCATGGCTCATATTTATTTACTTTTATTTGCTAAAAAAAAGTAGTAGCATTTCTTCGCGTGGTGATACAAGCAAACATTCTCAGATTGTTTTTCTTTCTTTTCACTGTTTTTTAACTTATTCACCCTCTGCTAGGAGACGCCATCATATGAGTTTAGGCACATAAACCATGTAAACACTACCCACCAAACTCAAAGACCCCGTTCGCAATGAGCGTTTGTGGCACTCTAGTGCTATTTCCTTGACTCCTGCTGTCACGTTAACGCTAAACTATAACTGTCAAATAATGTGCGAAATACACACTTGTAACTCAGTAAAGTCCTCTGTTCATAGTTAGCCAAGACTTCTGTCTGCTTTGTTTTTGGTGTATCTCTTTCTTTGTTTTTGTTCTTTATATTTTCATCTTTCTCTTTTTTATGTTTTTTTCTTTTCTTGTCTCTCGTTCTTTGTCATCGTTCTCTCATGTTCTCTATCTTTTGAACACGAAAGTGCTTTATGCCGGGTTCACTGGTGCATTTCCATCGCGGATATGATGTTAAGAGCTACAAGAACACAATACAAAGATTAAAACCAGAAAAAAAAGGTGCACAAATTCGGAAGACCTGAAAAATCAAGCCCACAACTTCTCGGTCCCCGGCGATAAAAACTGGGCATTTTGCCGACTGTGCCATCGGCGCATTTTCGTTGAGTCCTTCGGACGCGCCTTATATATCTCACCCTCCTTCGCGCTGTACCTCTTCTTCCTCATTTGCTGGGGCGGTACCGCCTCCTATGAGCAGAGAAGAGAAGCTCTGCATTATGACACCCACTAACACACACAGTGAACGCTGCGATAATTTGAGCGGTACTAGTGCTACACCACAACAATGCCAGCGTTCGAATGGACGCTAGTGTCAGAACTATTCAGGGGCTTTAGTCAGAGCTAGGAAGCCCAGATGATCGGTCACATAGACGAAGAGTATGGAGGGGGGGGGGGGGGCACGGGCATCTTCCTGGCTGCATCTTGGGGGCAGAGTAACACTAGCCCGGGCTATTTTTTTAAGAGCTTAGCTGAGGCTCTTATCTACCACCGATGGGCCGTTGGCCATCCTGTCTTGCAGATAGTTCACAGGGACTGTCTATGCCTGTTCCTTTTCCTTTCAGGCTTTTCAAATTCGGATGATGGGGCAGTGACAAGTGTTGGGAGTCGGTGACATTGAGAACAGAGTTGTAGGATGACGAAAATCGCGGCATGTGCGCAGCTCTTGTGCAAAATGTGTGTGTGTGCACATATATATATATATATATATATATAGGTATGGGATATGGCACAACGGGAGCGTTGTCAACAAGGTTTCGTTCTCAGTGTTGACAGTGGTTCTTCCTCTTTTTTACTTTCTTTCTTTTTCTTTTTTCTTTAGTTCCCTCTCACTTTTGCAAACATGTTTCAAGGCGAGAGGGACGCGGCAGCAACGAAGTTTGGAAATCCATGTCAGTATAACTCATCCCCTGATGAAGGGAGGACCCCTCCCGAAACTGTTGGGAAATAAATATATTTATCCTTGTTGACAACGCTCCCGTTGTGCTATATCCCATACCTTCACGAAGACTAACTGGATTATTACTCCCACTATATATATATATATATATATATATATATATATATATATATATATATATATATATATATATATATATATATATATATATATATATATATATATATATATATATATATATATATATATATATAATATATATATATATATATATATGCTTTGTTGCACAGTTTTAAATCCATGAACTTTCATGCTCTCAAGTGTTTCTTCTGAAATTAAGGGGTAACTACAAGTAAGGCACACATTATTCTTGTAAATTACATATCATGCACTACACTGTATAGAACAAAATGTAAACTGAAATTAAATAACAGCCAAAATTATTTTTAAGACCCAATTCTGAATGAACAATTAAGAAGGTCAAAATTATTATTGATTACTTGTGATGCTAGCAGGGTTTACATTATTTCACCACAACACCACAAGAGCTTCTTTGCATAGCGCACAAAATTTAGAACATGCATCTAAGTGGGCTTTCTTGTCCTGCGTGAAAGTTTTGCCTGACTTAAGGTAAACAGGATGACTTTTTGAAAGGGACAAAAAATTAAATAAACTCGAGAACGACAAATCCATTATTTCTTTTTCTTTCTTTTTCTTGGTGCCTGTTTCAAGGAGTAGAGCTCTGAATTATGTGGAACCAACTAATTCAAACTATGAGATTACTAAAGATTCTCAGCATAACTCTGCCGGATCACAAGTAGCCTAGTTTACATAAGGACATTTTCATCTTGACACAATGTTGCGCGGCCCAGCGTTTCAAACTCCCGATGCCTGCCATGTATTTGAGACACAGTGGCACAGTTATTGCAGTTAGCATAGGATTCCAGTAGGCTTGTTGCAGTAATAGACTAGGCTGTTCATTATGTCATATCAATGTTATGACGCCACCTCAATCTAGGCCATAATAATGACAAAGTTACTGGATTAGATTGAATAGCTGTTGTTGCTTCCTTTCTCATGCATAGTAATTTTCCTACTTTGTTCGCCGGTGCACAGCAGTTCCTGTATGCGCCGCTGCTCATTCCCTAGAGAAGAGAAAAGTTTGCCTTTCCACATAGCTCAGTTGTAGGCTTGTGTGAATATTCGAATGTTTCGAATATTCAAAAGAATAGTAGACTATTCAAAGTCACTTCAATTCGAATTTAAATTTAAAATTTCAAAGTATTTGCAACAAACGAATAGATTTAGTATGTTGAACAGCAAGTAACTAGCTGTAAAGGTGGTTTCACTGCAGTGTGGAAGTGCTAAACCGTGAAAGCACCTATTTAAGAAAAATCCGCTTTGCTCGCCTTCGAGTTTAAAGGGGCCCTGTAACACTCTTTGAGCATGGTCAGAAAATGCTGACGATCAGTAGTAGAGGCTTCGAGAAAACGCGAGCCAAATATTATAGTGCATCAGCGGCCTAAAATTTACAGTGAATTATCAAAGTCAGCTAAAAATTTCTCTTTTCTCGGCAAATGACGCCACTAGCCCAAAAATCACTCGTTGCAGCCATTGTATCAGCCATATGCTGATTTGAGCACAGCGCGTGGTTGTTACTGGGGTCACCACTTGTCTAGGCGTACCTGCACAGTTACAGTGAAAAGCAACATATTCGAAGACAACAAAAAATGCTCAAGGTCATGGGGCACGCATGAAGTATTTTCTTTCCCTGTGCCATCCCTCCCTGCTTAGCTCCAAGCACTTTCGTCGAGATGAGAAGAAAGAATGCAACTGCAGCGTGCAACAGGTCTTTGCAACTCTGCTCGTATTGGATAGATTGTAAAATTTTTTGCGGTGGGTGAATTCATGAGGCAATGAGCTTCTTTAGTGAATCCATTTCGTGGCTACTTGAAGAAGTGTTGCAAAGCCCCATTGAATGAACATACTACCCTCACATCAATTCATTATTTTATTAAGCTTAAAAGCTTGTTATGATGGCTTATATGCTCTAAGTATAGTAAATTTTAAAATGTTACGTATTTTACAAGTCATCACTCGCATCCTTCAGTAGGATGCGCCAGTAGGATGTGAGTCAAATCTTGCTACTATTGAAAGTTGTTTCGTCTTCCTTTGAATGAAAAAAAAAGTGCATTTGCCTGCAGGCTCTATTTCAATTTTAAAAAATATTGTGTAGGTTAGGTAATGAGTGACAAATATGCCCATTTTTATTTATATGTCATATATATATATAAATATATATAATAGTGATCTTGGTCAAATCGAAATTATTCGACCAAGATCACTATTCCCTTCGAATTCAGTTTGAACCTAAAATTCACTATTCGCACAAGCCTACTCGGTAGCCTTATCATCAAGCTGACAACATTTTAAGTGAAAAGCTCGGGCTGGAATAAATCAGAGGGAGACAGGATGTTGCATTCTGAAAAAACACTTTATTATAAAATGCTACGAGTATCGAAAGTGGTGATTTCCATGAGGCTACAAGCTCCGCACTGCATCCTCATGAATTGCCACATGCAAACACAAAACACACTGTCACTAACCACGGAATGAAGCAAAAGGGGCAGCGATAGCCCTGCCCAGCCGTCTGAGCCTCAGGTGGTGTCAGCTTTATAGCGCAAAGAGCACGGTAGAGCAAACTACATCAAAAGCGTTCTACGTAGCTAAGTTGCGACTTTTTCTTAGTTCATAAAGCGTGCTAAAAATTTGTATATGAATTTTTTTTCTTTGATGGGCAGTTTTGAGGTTGGTTTACCATTCCGTTAATATACAACACACCCAAAAAAATAAAAATAAAGAAAGTTCATTAACATATTTAGTTAATTAGTAGCCTAATTAAATCAGCCTGTCTCAAACCAGGCACCTGTCATAGCCCCCATAATAGCCCCAGGGCGAAAATCAACATAAAGCAACTTTTTTTTTTAATTCTGGACCTTCTCAGAAAACTCACTCAGTATAGGCACAAAAGACAGAAATAGGTCTACCTAAAGACACAATAAAATTTGTCATAAACCTTTTTAAACCCTCTTTCATACTCATAGACTAACAGGTGTATGGTCTTACAAGTAGAAACAAATAAGTCTGGTTGCATATAATCAAGTCTTTAAATTATGAGCTCCAACTACATATCCAAGCCTTTACAACACTTAGGTGACAGAACTTCCTTTCTTCCCTATATAGCAGGGAAACTTCAGATGGCACTAACAAAAATGAGCACAGAGGAAGGTAGGTAAAGCAAAAGATTCACTTTGCAGCACACCCAAACAAAAAAAAAAGATATTATTGAAGGCCTACCAGAGAGGTATGCTCAGAAAAAAAAAAGTAATGGATAACATAAGCAACTTCAACGTGTAGTGTTTTTCATGTCGGAAGTTTTTCGTATAAGTGACCCGCAGATGACTAGTATGAGCCTAAAAATGACGAAATAGAGAAATAGACAACAGAAATGTGCTGTACCTAAAGAACTGCCCTTGTGATCTCCAACAGGTTGGTTTGCCAAGTAAGCACTCAAAGGCTGCACGGCATGAAGCAGGAGGTTCTTGATGACATTTTTGGTAGCTCCATGGTGAGAGTCAAACAAGGCAGCATTCAGGGCTGTGGATAACATAAGTAAAAATATGGAAGTCAACCGTACAATGAAGCTTTTTTTAAAATTCTAGGCCTTAAGGGCTGTGGATAACATAAGTAAAAATATGAAAGTCAACCGTACAATGAAGCTTTTTTTAAAATTCTAGGCCTTAAGGGCTCCTGGCAGCCAACTTTTTGTTTATGACTTTTGTGCTTTAATGAGTAGGTCTGCACTCATATTCACAAAATTAAATAATAAATACACCAACATAATGCATCATTAATGTTAGCAGCATTATGACTAATATTGGTGGCACTTAAAGATGCCTTCCCAAAATTACAGGAAAATAGCACCCAACTGTAGTGGTATGCCATCAGATTATGTATGCTTCAACTTCTGTGATCTTGACAATGAGCTCCTGTAATTGAAGCTCCACAAGTGAAAACAAATGAAATAACATGAGTGCCATTTTATCAGCCAGCATGTGACACATCAGACATGTTCTCCGGTTGAAACCTACCACAAAACAACATGGAATCCAATTGCCTGCCCAGCAGCCACTTCACAGTAACGAGTGTGCCCCTCATAAAAAAGACTCTTCCTCACTATGCCATTTAAAGCACCACTGATATAAAGAGCCAGAATCACTAAGAAAGCATCCCAACAACAAAGGAAGGAAGGCGCTTGACGATGGCCCCCATAGTGTGCACGTTTAATTTGGTGGTGTGTGTGCCCTGCAGTATTGTTTTGTATGTCTAGTTGACAATACACATCGAAGAGGCAGAAAGCCACAGGGAGACCAAGCAGCCACTAAACGCACCATGTTGATAATGGTGTCGCGAAGTGCTGCCAACTCAGATGAGAACTCACACTTGCTTTAAAATTACATTAAAATGTGTGAACTAGTAATTAGAGTACATTAATTGTGTTCACCACTAGTACATGGTCAGAGGCACCAACACAAGCAGTAGAATGGAACAACAAAAACTAGAGTGTGAAATATTAGTGACAAGGGTCTTTAAAGTTGAGCACTAAACAAGATTAGGCTACCTGATTATACTCTATTGCAGCCCTATCAGCACTTTTCCAGCGCTAAGAAGTTATGTGGCCTAGACAATGGCAATTGTTCATGATGTGCTTCACTGAAGCATTATGCCCAAGCTCACTCAGCCTCTAGCATGTTATAATTGCTTTGCTCATAGTTATTCTACACACTTGTGTAACTAAGTGCTCACAGTTTAGGCTTAATATCAGTCGGCTGGGGGGCACCAGGACACAAACATGCCTACAAACATACACAAACAAAAGGCATACAAAAACACACAAACAAAATGCACAAAATGCATACAAACACACACAAACACATACATAAAAACATACAAGCTGCCAATGTGGGTTGGGTGGAAGAGGGGTACCCTTTGCTTGTTGTGCTTGCAGGAGCAGGCTGGCATATTACAATCACAATTGCAGGTAAAACCCACTTTTGGGGTTATGATTGATTGAGGTGTACAGAAAGCTGTTCAGGGTACACAGTCTCATCACTATAAATTCATGTGTTATAGAACAGTGGCTGTAGATACTTCTCATGGCATTTTGCACAAAAACCTTGCATCATATGACATACACCACTCACTGTGCAGTAAACAAAATGCTACATTAGTATACACAAATGTTAGTGCACAGAAAGAATCTAGTGATATATACAGTTAATAATTTGAGCAAACTAGGCATACCTTGTCTCCAGGCCACCAGTGAGAGCTGTGCGAGAAGAATTTGGCAGACACACTTCATCGAGGTTACTGCAGTGTTTGGCAAATCTGAAACAAGTTGGCCAAACTCTGCAATATAGCGTGCCATTTGTATCCACCCATGTAGGCAAATACAGCCAGAGTCCTGCTTTTTATCCCATTAAAAGCTATAGCAACAAAAAATGACAATGTTTGGAAATCTGCATTTTTCATGATGAGCTGCACATATGCCCTTTCCCTAACAAAAAAGTCTCAAAATGCCTCTTTATCTTGTGGCTTTTGTTCTGGCAATACTGGTTGTCCTGAGGCTCTATGGAAACCCTACAAGAACAGCTCAGCTGTTTTTGTAGGGTTGCTGTATGCTGTATAAAAAAATATAAAGGGTGGATCATAAGCTTCTTAGATTGTAACCATGCATTAACACTATCCCATATATCGGTTAGTCCCTGTCAAGCATTTAGTAGTGCAATAGGATCATTGTGATCACTCTTCTCTCCCACACAATAAAAAAGCTGAATGATCCAATTTATTTATACTCAGCTTGATTTACAACAGTGCTTTGAACCTTGGCATTATTCAGGCAGAATTTCTGATGTATCCATGATGTCATGGATATCAAGGATGATATCCGTGACGCATGTGTTTTGTCGTGCATAACAGGAATAAAAGATGGATCAAGGACTTGAAATATTTGTGGCACAGTATTTGCAGTTCGACAAAGTACGAGTCCAGTGGGCACATTAACAGAGAGCAAAAAGGAAAAAAGTGCACACCTTGACTTTGGCAGGCCAGCATCAGGAGCAGTGACATGCCAAATACTGGTGGTTCGCCTGAGGGTCCAGAAACCTCTGTGCTAGTGTTTACGGTGGTCAGCCTCGCGAGTAGCTCGCCTACAAAGCAGTTCCAGTAGTGGTCCCAGTACAGCCTCTCCAGTTCAAAACAACTAGGACGGGTTGCCCTAGGTGGTTGTTTCCGCCAGTGTGCCCTACCTGCATTTATTGGCACACTGTTAGTGGAGGCTGGAATCACAGATGCCACATTATCGCAACAAAGCTATTTGGCCTGGTTGGAGATGGTTCATGTTTAAGAAGCAAGAAGAGACACGGAGACAAAGCAGGGAACACACACAGGACGGGCACCACATTGTCACCATATAATGCTCAATGCAAGTTTGAGGCTTGATACAGTACAGCAGTCAACAGAATATTTATTTTGTAGTGATGTGATTTTGAAAGTGATTGCACAGTGTAAAAGGTCAGTGGTTGCATGCCACTGCCCCACCATTCACGGTGCCTCTGCCACAGGCATGGCAGCCGCAATCCCAATAGATAGGAGATAGAAAGTACTTCAGAGTAGATATATTGAAGTATTGTTAAAGTGTTCTACAGACCCACTGAACTGCTTCTTATAGTTTGCGTCATCAAAGCACTGAATCATGTGCACATTTATTAAGTCCCAGAATGATCAGTTGGTTGACCTTTGACTTTAGGGAACATTTGCACAGCAGCTATATTGCTTTCTAGCATTTTTGCTAACCATACTGCAGGAAGTTTTACACTACCATAAAATCCCAAGCAAGTGCCCCTCTATGATTAAAGATAATCTGACAAGATCTGGATAGGGGTGGAGAAGGGGGCATTGCTTGTGCATTCAATGAAAAGCTTTATTGAATACACATGCATTTCCTGTCATTATTTACCCTCGTCGGGTGAATAAGAACAGCGAACAAAACGGTGAAAGCGGCGGGGGGATCTCAGGCTCCAAAAGCTGGAGAATATCTTGCCACAGCAGTGGTCAGACTTATAAGATACCAGGCGGTGCTAATAATCTCTGGATCCAAACAGGCCGCCCTTGAAGCTTAACTTCCGAAAGTTGAACACACACAAGGATCTTCTCAAGTAAAGCTAGACTAGCAAAGTCATTAGAGAATTTAGAAAACCTGACATGGCATCTAGTTAGCCTTAGTGAGGCAAGCAAAGCAAGGGAGCATATACAATGCCAACTAACCGGCACTTCTTCTGCTACAGAAGGCTCCCTATTAGGAAAGAGTGTGCCGTGGTGTTTGTAATCGATGAAGGCATTCTGGGAAGCATTCTATAGCATCAATAAAAAGGTAGCAAACCTTGTAATAAAGCTAAATAAGAGGTATAAACTCAAAGTAGAGCAGGTGTATGCTCCAACGCCCAGCCATGACAATGGAGAAGTAGAACAACTCTACGGGGATACTGAAATTAGCACTGCAAAAGGCACGCACCCACTCCACCGTAACCAATGGATACTACAATGCAAAAGCGGGAAAGGAACAGAATGGGGATGAAGCAATCAATGATATAATATCAACTATAGAAGTAATAGAAGTGAGATGTAAGTCAAATTCACAGAATAAAATCTACTCTGCATAATGAACACGTTCTTCAAAAAGCATAAACATGGAAAGTGGAGATGGGAAAGCCCTAACAGAACAGCAAAAAATTAAACAGATTTTATATTATCTGGTGAGCTAGGTATTGTACAGGACATAGAAGTTATAAGCAGAGTAAAATGTAGCGATCATAAGTGAGTAAGGGCAAGGAGAGCCCTCAATCTGAGAAGAACAAGGGCAAAATTAACCACAGAGGAACAGGTCTAGCTGAATGAAATCAGTGGTAAATTTAAATTCAGAATTTCACTTGAGAAGAAATATGCTCTGGAACATTAAAAATACCGACATAGACGAAATTAATGAAGCTCTTAAAGAAGTTATTTCTGCTGCAGCAATTGAACTAAAAAGTAAAGCACTGATGAAAAAAACAAAAAGCAAATTTTCACAAAAAATAAAATACTGAGAAAATAACAACACATAAAATTGACTAACTTAAAACCTAAAATAAAATCCGCTGAGCCAACAAAGCTCTTCAATAAGTAGAAAGCCAGTGACTTAAGAAACTACCATGCAAAAGAGGTAGAAGCAGCAGCAAAAAGAGGGTGGCTGTATCAAAACAGCTAAAATGAATCTGTTAAATGAATCTGTTAGAATCAGAGGTCAATAAGCCTACTTTCACTAATAAACATAATATTCAAGAAGGTAATTATAAACAGGATAAGAGAAAAATTTGACTAATAAATCTAGTGAAGAACCTGACTTCAGGAGGGGGCACTCTACCATAGATCAGCTGTGTGATCAACCAGGTCATTGAGACAAAAAGGCATTTGTCCTGGTAAAGATACCACCAGCCTTGGATACATTGGGTCACCAACACAGGTGCCAGCAGGACTTTGTTTTGATTTGCGTTGCATCACAGCACGGATGGGCAAGGCTTTGGCTCAAGTAGAGATTTGAAGGAGGAAGATTGGAGTGCTGGAATGGCTTGAGGGAGGCAAGTGCCCCTTTTGAACTCCTTGGCCAATGCCCATGGTCACCAATCAATAGTTCAAACAAATAAGTACCTTAGCCAGTGGAACTTGCCTGTGTAAAGAAAACTAACGGAAGAATAAAGACGGTCTGGTGCACATACCGTAGACAATCCCAAACAATCACAGGCAGTTCACTGCTTTTCCTATAGTGAAGAGTGTGCAACCACTGTATACTGCCAGTACAAACACAGTTTCGAAACTTGGAGGACAACAAGGAAACTCGAGAAGTAAAGAACCATGCAATGTCTAAACAGGAAGAGAACAGAATGGATTAGAGAACAAATAGGTGTAGCTAACATTCTAAAAAATGTGGATCTGGGCAGGTCATGCATTGCAGAAGACATTTAACCATTGGCCAGTTGGAGCAACAGAATGAACACCAAAGCGTGGGAGATGTAGCCGAGGACAAGAGAAGGTTAGATGGAGTAATGAATTGGGAATTTCGCAGGTGTAAAATAGAATTAGCTGGCACAGGACAGGGGAAATTGGAAATCACTGGAAAAGGCGTTCGTCCTGCATAAGACATAAAAGTGGCCGAAAGTGGTGATAGCAGTTTCTTTTAAAAAGCGACAAATGATAAAGATCTGCTTTGACATAGGACAAACTTGTGCACTACCAAAGATTAAAATTCATGCATTGCAGCCCTCATTATTGAAAACAAAGTTATCTAGGAACAAAAGGAAGTTTGGAGCATGTCTTCTTACATTATTTACTGTTACCAGGTTATAATAAACATCTGAGAGACATAGGCTTACAAGAGAAAATTGATAATATTATAAAAAATAATTATAAGAGCAGTAATTATACATACAATATAATGACAACTTACATGTTTACCCACTACGATAGATGCAAGGCTATAGCACAGTGCTACTAAACATGAGTGCGCAAGTGAAGTTTTGCCCCCTCAACACCATTCTCATTCATTTTCCATGGGAGCGAAATGCAAGAACACCCATGTGCTAAGTTTTAGGTACTCGCTGAAGAACCCCCGGTGGACGAAATTAATTCAGAGTCCCCTAACTACAGCATACCTTATAATGACATTTTAATTTTGATATGCAGAACACCTGAATTAAGTTTAACCTACACGTTTAAAACTACTTTATGATGCTTCGACAGGTAAAAAATATACAAGCAAGTGGATCTGAATCATTCACACAAGCCAGGATAGCGAAAAAAAAAGGGTTTCTAGGTACACGAGATGTGCAGAACACGTCACATCAACAAAAAACTTGGTCTGCACAACACTGCTGCAAGGCTAGAGTTCATTCTCTCCAACCGTGGCGATCATGCCCTAACGGAGGGGCCACTGAAAGGTTTAATTAGAGACAACAGGCACGTCGCTTCATCAAAGGCACACCCTTTGTGGGTGTGGTCCTGTGCTAAACTGGGAAATATCGGAGCTCTCCTCCGCCAAAAGACTAGTGCAATTAGTGTATTGATTGGGCAAGCCGCTGCTGCTGAATCTGGGCTTGGGTCATAAAACGTTGGGAGCAAAAGTGTCACACATGTACATAGGTAGAAAGCATCGTATATTAGGAGGGAAAGAAAACAATAAGAAATTCAGTCATGACAGTGAATACAAACAGGACTTTAACACTACGTTGCCAATATGAAATGCAGAAACTTGTTTAAAACATGCTGAAAATGAAGAACTGCATTTCTTAAATGTGAGGGTTCCATATCAGATGCATAATACTAATTTCAAAATACTTGGAAGCAAAAGCAAAGGGAGCAATGAGAAAGAAATGAGATGAAACATGAGGCTGCATTTTGTTACCATTTTCAAGCCTTGATATACTACGTGAAATCAGAGTCAAATTGTAGGGTTTCAGATACTAAAACTACAACATAATTATGAGGCATGCCATAGTGGGGAAGCCTGAATGAATTCTGCCCAGCTGAGGTTCTCCAGCTGGTCAGAATTAGAACACAGATTAGCCCACAGAATTTTGTCCACGTGAAATGCAGCAACCATGGGCTGGTTGTGCTAAGCAGAATACCAAAAAAGCACCTAAACCACCATAGTAGGTCTAGGTTCACTTCAACTCCGGCTTAGCCAACTGTGTATTGCTCTCGTTTATCATTGGGATTGGCCACTCCTAGTGACAGATAACAAAGCAAAGAATAAAAATTTAAGTGTGTCATTACAAGATGCACTCTTTCTTTAGGCAGAGGAATATGTGTAAGGTGGGAGGAGGTCCAAACCATTTCCAAAATTTTTCAATTTGTATACAGGCACATGCACAAAGTTACATAAAGGGTGACTGAAAACATACCCCTCCAGAAAAAAATTATGGCTACACCCCTGACAAGGACATGGAATATTTTTCATAATTTCAATCTATAACTTTCAGAAAATAAAGAACAGCCACACTCACACTTGTTTCAACATTCAGGCTGCATACTGCACAGCAGTTGTATGAATGGCTATTATACTTTAAGAAGACAACAAGCATGCACATGTACTACTTTAAGCTGCTATAGCTCAGGAAAATCAGTGGCAAGCAAAATGACGTGTGAGAAAAGGAAGCAGACGAAACATGATGAACTGATGTTGTACCAGCAAATTATCTGTTAACGTTTTTCCATCATGACTTCATTTGCATGGTCATGTTGTTTAGACTACAGATGGCTTACACTTGATGTCATGGACGCAGCTTCTGAAAGGAACTGGGGCTTCACGGTTGTGGTTACGATGTCAAAGCAGTTGCGTCCATGTGAAAACGACACGACAGGAATATCTCTGTGCATGAATAGTGAGAGAACCTGCATGTGATGTTTTGATAACATTAATGTGACATCGAAAACATCGCATCCCCACATGCTGGTGCTCCAGCATGGCGCTTTCAGTGACATCATTGCAAGCCACCTATAGCATGAGAGGTGTATGCAGAACACAGAAGTACTAATCAATAACATTCAGAGTTTGCCTGCAAGATCTTTTCAGTGAGCTGGTATCCACTGTGTCATTTCACTAATGAACAAAAATTTGTGCTTGCCACATAGACTAGTTACTTTAACTATTCCAAGAACTTATTGCAGCCTTCGAAGGGGATTTGTCGCACAGACAAGTACGAAAAAAATGTATTTTCACTCAAGGCACCTTGTTTTTGTTTGACAGCTTGGGGTGGCACAGAGTGGTCGATGCATGTAGCAGCATAAAGGTATTTCAGAAGCAAGGTTTGGTCAGATTGGATGAGGGCAGTAAGCAGAGCAGCTGTGCCAGCAGCGTCGCGAGTCGCTGCCATGCTCCAGAATTCGGCAGTGGCAATATCTCCCCAGGTAAAGCTTCGCACAGTTCCTTCGCGACTTTTTCTACCTTCTACACAAACAAATGCAGCAAGTCTAGCTGCAGAAACTTCAGCCTGATGCACTGCAAGGGTGAACAGCACTGTTGATACGGGCAGTGGTGCCACACCGGCTGATGAGCCGCAGGCGCTAAGCAGTTGGTTGAAGAAGTGGCACGAAGCAAACACTCCACCAATCCAGTCGGCGTGCAAGTCAGCTGCGTCCATCCGGCAGAGCAAGAGGATATCATTCCGCAAACTTAGCCATGCCCAGCGCAGCGCTTGCTCAGCCAGCGATTCGAGACGAACTTGCGTCCAACGCAACACAACGTCCAAAGAAGTGTGCCATTGCGCATCGAAGCTGTTAAACGTATGGCCAAGGAACTTGAGAAGGTAAGGCCAAGCAAAAGTTACTGCTTGCAAGTTGTCAAGAAAAGTAGACTTGCGCAGAAATGAGAGATGCAGGACATCTTTGGGTAGGACGGGGTGCCCAGATAATAGCAACTGTCCAATTAAAGTATCTTCAGCCAGCGCTAGGTTTTTCACGCGGTCACGCAACTTTCTTACTAAGGCAACCTGATGGCAGCACTCTTTCTTAATTACTAACAAACAACGCTCTTTCATGAAGGACTTCATTTGGTCGTGAAGGCCTTTTACATGCTCCTTCTTGAGCGCGGAGCATAGATCTTGACGAGCGTCTGTACCAGATGAAGAGCTGCACACCGAAGAATCAGACTGAAGCAAAATGCTGAGCGTTTCCATGACTTCAGCAGTATGAAGAAGAATTTTCTGTTCTCCCAGTAACGCGGGTGCACTGCTGCATGCTTGATCTTCAGGTGGCGGAGGCTTTACGGGTGTTCCCGGTGGTACTTTCGGCTTCGGTCCCGCAGGTTGTTTTTGGATAGCGTGAGATGCCTTCTCAGAACTGGATCCCGAAGCAGTGTGTTTCGAAGACCGAGATGACGTGAGTAGAAGGTGCTGCTGGATCTCTACCATTTGTTTCCACTCTCGACGTTCCGAGGCAAAACGACGCCTTTGCACTGGTGGAAGTGCAGCCTCTCCCATCATGCTAAGAAATATACGCCAAACGAAAGCTTGCGCACAAAAACACGAACTCCCTACGACCTCTTACATTTAGTACCGATGAAGCGAGCGCATTCCGACACCCTATCGACGACATGCCGGCACAGTTCGACAGGTTCCACACAAATGACATATCCGCGGAAACCCGATTCCGTGCACTCCTCACATTTCGCGTGTCGCTTGTTGCGGAGCAACAGAGCGTGTAAACATTCGCGGTACAAATCGAATGGCGGAAATGACGTAACACGGCGATACGCGCGCTTTCAACAACTCGAGCCACTTTTCGTAGACAGGCGCGCAGCCAGGCGCAGCCAGCGGCGGCACGACTCGCGTAGCTCGCTTGCCGCCTCCATGAACTATGCCGCCTCCATGAACTATTTGTTACGTCCACGCGTTACCCTGTCGACGATGAATTTTTTCGCAAACACGTAGCGATATCGAACTGTTTCACGAATCGTAGCACTTATATTGTATGCGTAAACGTTTAAACTTGAAGGTGACTCTTTAGATAGCGTCTGATGTTATGGAGTTCGAGGACTACGAATGTCTACCGACGAACAATGTGGTTACCCACATGCTTGCGGGTGCCGCAGCTGGAGTCATGGAACACTGTGTTATGTATCCTTTGGATTCGATAAAGGTGAGTTGAGAAATTACCCTCGTATCACGAGAAGCAACTTTCGTGGTGTAGGATGAGCTATTTACGCTTTCGCACTGTGCCTTTGATTGCTGTGAATGTCGTGGTCTGCAGTAACCTTTAATCGGGCAACGTTTTTATCTACTTAGCTTATGATCACTTATTGTGCAACATTAGGTTTAAAAGTTTAGTAGATGTCACCACGCTCACCATAACAAGTCTCGCTCTGATGCGGGGCTGAAAAATGCGACCTTGACGTCTTGCCCACAGGTGTAGCACGTGGTTCTCGTTTGTATATTTCTTTAATTCTAGTAATCAAAGCATGTTGTTTTTTTTTGGTCCGTGAACATGAGCACAAAATTAAAAGTGTAGTGAGTGGATTCCGCTCTCGTCCGCTGAGAGCACCGAGTTGCACAAGTGAGCCTCGTGAATCCGCTCACTAAATTTTTGTGTTCAAAACCCCTTTGTTGGCCTATGACATTTCTGCGCATAGTTTATAGTTTACTGTTCGCGCCTAATACGTGTGAACACTGAACTTCTTTGGTGATTTCAAACGTGTGATTGAAGTGTCGTCATTCATTTCTGTTTTGATGACACTCCTTTCGCAGACTAGAATGCAAAGCCTGCGACCCAGTCCAGGTGGCAGGTACACCTCCATCCCTGATGCTTTCTGCAAAATGGTCCGGCATGAAGGTGCGCTCCGACCCGTGCGGGGCATGAGTGCAGTGGTCGTCGGTGCTGGCCCGGCCCATGCTCTGTACTTTTCCTGTTATGAAAAGCTCAAACGCACAATCAGTGGCACAGAACATGGAACGCACAGTCCAGTTTCTCAAGGTGATTAGACATTCCTATGATCTTCCGTACTATGGAAAACATATTCTAAATGTGGTGACCTCTCAGATTGTGGGACTTTTATCAATTACTGTATCATTTGGAACATTTTGTAGTAATGCACATGCTTGTCATTAATTGAGATTAGTCACTGCCGTCATTCAACGAGAACATAATGTAGTTATTTCCCATAGTTTTTTTTTTGCGTGTGCTTCTAATTACATTTATCAAAAAATGGCAGGAAGGGGAAGGTGGAAGCTTGCGATGAAAAAAATCTAAACAGGGGTTGTGTCGAGCTGACATTTCGACGAGCGGACTTCGTCTTATTCAAGGAAACCTCTAGCCTTGAAGAAGACAAGTTCACTTGTCGAAGTGTCAGCTCGAGCGCACAACCCCTGTTTACAGATTTTTTGACTTACTTTTATAGAATTCAATCTTAGCTGCTCAAGTTTTGTGGTGCGTCATACACTTGCCCTATGGAAGGTTCCTTATTTTTTGTCTTTGTTAGTAGTGTACACAACATAGCTCGTAATTGTTTATTCGGTGTGGTTAGGGTTACGTCCAAACGTAACTGTAAGCGTTGCAATCGTTACGTCCAGACGTAACTATAGCCAACAGTAGCGCTACGTCCAGACATAACTAAAGCCACTGCTTGTGTTACGTCCACAGTCCCACGGTGACGTTTGCATATGTTACGGTAACGTTTGGCACTGCCGCTCGCCCAATTAAGCGGTCATAAGCTCAGATTCACCGATTTACCCGAATCACTTGTGTGTAGAAAGCTGCACCGTTTATTGTGCCGGAATTTTTTGCGTATCAGCAGCTCTGTTGACACAGACTAGCTGACAAACTTTTGGAAGACGTTGCCGGTACCTTTCTACCGTATCGGGTGCTGCCTTTTCATCAGCTTTCTTGAAGCGGTCAACAAGCGGAGCTATCATGATGGAACCCTGCCCACACCGCGGTTAGTGTTAAACAGCAGCTCTCCAACTGGATGCAAGTACGGTTTGCGTGCCCGTGCTGATGTATGAAAGGTTCACTAGGGTTACGCTCATACAGTAACAGTAGTTACAGCTGTCACGTGTCGCGGCATGTAAATATCTCATCGCGTCACATCAGACAGTGGATGGACGACATGTACACACGAAACATAGATTAATATAGACTACGGTTATTGCTGAGCGATAATAAGACATCCACCTGACTATTTATACATATATTTTTAGGGGTGAAATTTTAAAAACATAAAAAAATCACCTCGGAACACAAAACGAATTGTCGCTGAGGCCATAGAGTTTTCTGTGGGAAACTTTACGACTCATAGAGTTAATACACAGACTACAGGAAAAGCTCCCACAGTGCCCATGCTGGGATAATCTCGCGGTGCGCTTTTGTCGCTAACACGCACTATTTTGCTACAGCAGAGCTGTACGACACTAGCATCGCGGTTTTGCGCGTCCGCCGCGACCACGAAGGCTATTTTCTTTAAGAAAAAAAATATATATATATAAGCGACGTCCTTGGAACATTATTGCTGCACTGTTTCAAAAAATACTTACGCAAAAAATGTAATACATAAAATAAATTTTTGGTAGGGCTTAAAACAACGACTTCACCGTCCTGCACGGGCTGCGTTAGTCGACTACGCCACTTCTGCCAATCGGCTTGGTGGGTTTTTACAAGCCGGTTTTGTATTGTTGTCAGGCTGGACGTAACTCTAACATGTCTTATTTTTACATTTGGACGTAATTTTAACGGCTTCTACCGTTATGTCTAGACGTAGCTCTTGCGAAAGGTTAAAGTTATGTCCAGCCATAACGATAATTAGCTGCTAAGGTTACATCTGTCGTGTGGTTCACAATATGCACTTGAGTTAGATAATCACTTGGCAGTCTCGGATGTTTGCTCATGTGTCGCTGGTATAATAGAGAGCTTTAGAATAGCGCACTGGAGCCCTTGCGGTGCGGTCGCTGCCACTGCGCATGTGTCGTAATGCGAGTCGGCGTTCGAGGCCTGCACGCAGAAAATCCGAAAATGCGTCCTGCGATCGCGGCCCGCATGTGGCTCGCAAGCGCTGGTTTCGAGGCTCCGGTGTCGCTGCGATCGTGCGTTCTGGTTCGCAGCAGGGCAAACCCTATTCTAAAACATATGGTGCCCGCTACGCCCACAGCGCTTGCAAACGGTATTCTAAAACTCCCTAATCTCGCTTCGGTGAGCTTGCTACGGCAGAACTGTACAGTGCTGTAGCAACGCGGTTTTGCGCGCCCCCCACGACCACGAAGGCTATTTGTTTAAGAAAAAATATATATATATAATAATGCTGCACTGTTTAGAAGAATACTTGCACAAAAAATAAAACTAAAATATTTAGTTGGGCTTGAACCAACGATCTCACCGTCCTGCACAAGCTGCGTTAGCAGACTACGCCACTGCTGCCGATCGATTTTGGCGAGTTTAACCAGCCAGTTTTGTATTGTTGTCACGCTGGACGTAACTCTAACTTGTCTTATTTTTACGTCTGGATGTAACTTTAATGGCTTCTATTGTTACGTCTAGACGTAATGCTAGACACTCCATTGTTCATTTTGCCTCACACAGGAAAATATAGCATAAATTTAAACATACTGTACACTCTTGTGTATCTTACCCCTTTGTTGTTTTCATTGCTAAATATTCTTGGTGCTGGGAGTGAAGTGTAGGTTATATCTGCATAACTGGCATACTCTTTTTGGTTATATCTATTTCGTGCATGTATAGTGTTCATTAGATAAGAAGGTTGAACTGAACAACATGTTCTTGACCCATGTTTCTAATGCTTATTCTAATGCTAGTTCTAGACACAGATGTTTAGAGGCATTTTGAAGGCATGGTTCACAGTGAATTCCTTTTGATCCTAGTAACCAATGCTCACAGGATTCAGCATAAAAAATTATTACTGTGAAATCCCCAGGAAGTATCCACTCCTCAGCAAGTCAAATTATTGCGAAATCCAAGAAGGCAGCAACAATGTTTCTCAGCCAGAAAAGAGCGGAGTGTATGCTGACTTCCTCGGAAGTCTTCTTCCTCTCGTTCATGGAAAAGTGCATATCGATTGCTCTCAAAGACAAGAAATGCAGAGTCAAACACGATCTAATTGTGAAAAGCGTAGCGTGGAAGCACCTTCAATGATGGGTCACACAGTAGCTCTTAGCAACGTTCACAGATCTGAAAGGCCTTACTTTTGCTGACTAGTCGTCATAGGCATTAGTTTAGACTGCAGATCACGAAGGTTATGTTTTTGTTTGTATGACACTGAAAATTGTAATGTGTGTTCCATGCTGTTTAGTGTGCAATCGTTATGTAAAAAACAAATCCAATTTTAGTGACAAATTTCAGGCGCAAGTGCTTAGAGATCAAGACTGAAGCAGGGTTGGATAGGTTTCAAATAGACCAGTAGTACATAGACACATAAAGTTTCCTATATATCCACTAGAGGGAACTCAGGCGCTAGTGTCTATGAGATGTGCAACGCACGGCGCTTCAGCTAGCATGGAAATGGTGGGTAGTACACGGACTTGTCTAATTTTCAACCTTTCGGCTTCGGTTGGCTTTGCATGACTTAACGATGCTTTGTCATGAAACGACGACTGGCAAATGTTCGGCAGTTAGGCTTCGCTACCTTAACCTTTTAGGCTTACCATTTCAAATCGTGTCACAAAGTTCAAAAGGGTACGTTCTTTTTTTCGAAAGGAAACCGAAACACAGCATTAAACGAAGCCACAAGTGCAATTCGAGGCCCGCAAGTGCGAAGACTAGACAAATCCGTGTACTACTCATCATTTCCATGGTCGCTGAACGATCGCAACGCCAGCGTTCAATCTCGTTCATTTTAGGAAACTCTATGCATAGACATAGTGCATGATTAGAGTGTGGTGCAGGAGAGGGTGGAGGGGAGTGCACTTTCCTGGAACGGCGTTGTAGCTTCGTATTAGCAGTGAAATCAAGAAAAAGGCATTTGCTCGGAATTTTACGGTATCCCCAGGGCATAGTACTACCCACAGTGAAGAAAGACAAGTTTCAAGGTGGCACTGCTCCTGCAATGCTTTAAGCTTGATATGTAAGGTCTTTGATTTTAATCGCTTTACATGAGGTGGAAGCATACATAATTTATTCGTAGGCTGTTATTTTGTCCAGTGCAAAACAAGATGGCAGCAAGCAGAAAGACGGGTATTTATGATAGGACGGGACAGTTAGCAAAAAAACAATTTTCGGACTTTAAAAAAATCTATCAGCAGATTTCAATGTTTTGAGGTTCAACAAATATTTCCGCATTAAAGAGCCCCTAAACCACCCAGAGGGCGAAAATCAGCTGTGGTGGGGAAGTTGTGCATGAGTGTACGACAAACATGGAACCGTGAGAATTTTTCCAAACGGCCCAGTAATAGCGGAGTTAGACATGTGTAGATTAGATTAGATTTGTGGGGTTTAACGACCCAAAACCACCATATGATTATGAGAGACGCCGTAGTGGAGGGCTCCGGAAATTTTGACCACCTGGGGTTCTTTAACGTGCACCCAGGAGTTAGACATGTTTGACTATCGAAAGTGCAATGATCACTTATTTCGCTCTCTCCTGCGCTTCCCTCCGCTAGTATCCTTTCCCAAGCCCCTTTTCCCTATCGCCTAGTGCCCCTCCCAATCTCGCGTGGCATACATCATCGCTGACGTGCTGAACACCGTCTACTTCCGGTTGTTGCGACTCCAGCCGTCAACCCCATCAGTTGCGTTGTGGCTGGGTGCTTGATGGCGAACCGTGGCTGTCGTGATCATGCCGGTACAGACTCTGCATTGCGCGCCCGCCTTCAAAGGATCGCTGATCCAATGGACCCGTAGGTGGACACGCTGGCTGCAGTAGCTGACTCGTGAGCGGGCGCATGCACGCGGACAACACGACGAACAACAACAAGCAGCGCGGACAGCTGCTTGCAGACTGACTGGAAGTCGTAGGCTCTTGCTTGACCAAT